TGATACCAATTATTATTCATCCTCATTCAAAGATGTTTAAACATTTTGAAAAATCAATTGTTATTACTTTTATGGGCTATATCTTCTATATCGCACTTATGTTGATTTTGAATGATGTAAGGATGGTTAGTTCTTTTCCAAAAATGAAGACAGGTTTGGTAAATTCTTTTCAAATATCCTCTCTTCTTGAATAACTTATTTATATGCTTAATTTTAGTATAAACTTTGAGTTTAAACCTTTCCTAATAAAGATCTATCTTTAGCACGAGTATAACAACTTCTGTCTACATACTTTTCATGTGCACTAAAGTTTTAAGATCTTTCTCCCATAGCACTCTACTATAACTTCTTATTTGATTCTTAAGAAAGTGTCTTAAATCTCAATTACAAATTTTAAAAAAACTATAACATATTACCATTTTACTGTTAATTTATTTTAGCCATCATTTGTAATTATTATTATCTTTATGAATTGATTGCCACTTACAATTATGAATTTCTTCTCATTAATTTTAATATAAATACTCTTAGATTTTAATATTTGGTTTAAACTTAAATAAATTCCTCCACATACAATTAACTTGTAGGTTGACTATAGATTCTTTTCATATATAATTCTATTGGAATCATTAATAGAATTGTATCTGAACTCGAACTAACACAAGTGAATCGATGTTTTTATTCTACACTATGAACATCTTCCAAACCCAAAAATTGATGTTTTCCTAATGTAGCAATCTTCCTATGTAGACTCTTCCCTCTCTATTTCATAAGTGGAGAAGCTGCTCTTACTTCATCATCTTCCTTTTCTTCTATAAATAATTATTATAACTTTAATTATATTATTTAAATACATCCACAGCACCTTCCTTAATCAAATATATCATATCAGCAATCTCTCCTGATTAATATACTAAATCTCCCATCCTATAACTTCTTTATTGTAATGACTTGTAAATCTAAAAAATTGAATTCACATTCCAACCTTCAAAAATCTCTAAATTGGCAAAAAAACCCATCTCTTTCATTGAAGATTTCTCTTAACCAATTCTTACAACATCTTTAAAGTATTGTCTCCTTATTAAAGCAAAATGGCATGGTTATAATGCCACAGCCGTAAAATCTCTTGGCCTATTATGTATTAATGACATTTCTCCAAATGATTGTCCTGGTAATAAAATTTTTATTAAAACTAAATCAGATTGCTATGATTAAATTTTATTTATTTAATAATCCTTAAACTTATTATTGTTAACTGCTTATCTAAACCTTAATTTAACCTTCTCCAATAATTTTGTGGATGATGTCTTATCTTCAACATCATTAGGCTTAACATATATTCCAACTTATCCTTACAGAATTATATAGAATTTATCTCCAACCGAATCTATATTTATTATACAAGTGTTTTATGTCGCATATTCATGTTCAAAATAATAACTAAAATTTAGATCACCTTGATCTGCAAAATATTTTTAAAAAAATTCGATCTTTCTCACCATTCTCTCTATTGGATATAAATCATCCTCACTTCTTCTTTCAAATGGTTTCTTTAATTATCGAATTAATTCCTAGAGAATTTTATATTGTTACATCCTCCATCTTTAAATTAATTGTATAATTATAATCAATAATTTTATTTACTCATTTTAAATAATCTCATAATAAATTTATATAATCTTCCCTCTCTAAATCTACACCACAAAAATAACCCAAAATTATTAACACTCCCTGTAATATTGAATATACTTTCTATTAACAAAAATCATTTAATAATACTTTCGATACTCTAGACTTAAGTTAATTACTTTGATCTTTCTATATTGCTTATATTAGATACTATTTAAATTCATATTACCAATTCATTTAAATTGTTGATAATGTCAAACAATTAATAATCATATCCTAATTAATTTTTGTAACCTACTTAATGGTTCTTTTAAGATATTAAATATTTAGAATAATAATGTTATTTTTTAGAATTTAAATACATCAGGTAAGTTTTTAATTGTTAATATGGTTAGAGAGAACATATCTTTAATCACTTAGGCCATATAATATAAATAGCTGCATAAATTAACATCATATATTCTCTAATCTAGATACACATTCAATTCTTCTTTTTATTGAAATAACTTGTTTTGTTTATTTAGTGATTTATTCGATTAAACATTTTTTTGTAATTTTTAGTTGTAAAAGTGAATAAGATTACAAAATTTTGTGGTTTAATAGAATTGATGATATGGATTAGAATAAGTAGTGCAATTTACTCACGATATGGGATTAGTTAAAATAATATAAAAGTTGATTATAATATGCTAGTCATATTCATAATTGTTTCTTGTTTCTAACAAAACTGAAACCACGAATTTTCTTGGCGATGCTAAATTCTGAGTTCATAATTGAAACATCTTAACTAGCTATTGAGATGGAGGATTATATAAGTGACTCATTTTGTGAGAAAAGCTGTGATTAAAATTTACTAATTTTCCATTACTCAACTACAAAAGAAAAACCTCTTCTTATCCTTTATGATGCCATTGAAATGGATTTCTATGTTTTAGGTTTTTTCAATTAGAAACTAAATCCTCTTATTTGTTTTGTGTTGGTCAATATTGTAGAGTTTACCATTTGTGTTATTTACAAATTATTAAAATTAATAACAACTTCGTTAACTAAAAAAAATATAGTTTTTTTATTAAAGTAAGTGGAAACAATAATTTTAATATAGAATTAGTTCAATAATATCTCCATCCATATTAGAATTATTAAAATTATCTTTAATGTCCAATTAATTGAGATGGTGGTGAAACAAAAGAGGATCTTCTACCATACATATTTTAATCAACTTAATAATTTCTTGAAACAGCTGGCCCTTCTGGTATTATGGTATCTGCTTTTTAGACATTATAATATGGTGTAATATCATGTGTTAAATTGCTTTTTACTTAACCAAATAGTTTCTCTTCATATTTTAACAATTATCTAATGAATCCTGGATTTGGACATACCAATGGTCTTACACTTTTCAAATAAATCAATGCTTCTTATAATGTCCAATCTTAAGAGTACATAAGATAAGCTAACACAATAGTAGCAGACCTAGATTTTCCAGCTACACAATGCACGAGTACATTATGATTATCTTCCATATGTTTTTTTATAAATTTATTGGTTTTATCAAAAGATCCAGAGATATCACATTATGGACGATCATTTACCTGTAAAATCATTTGATCAGCATCTGAATTAGCTTGAAAATCTATTCAAAATATTGTTTATATCTTTACTTTGTTCTGTTGAAAAAGATATGATGGCTTTTACATCATAATTTTGATAATATTAAAATGCTTAAGCATCTCCTATGTAGAGTTTACTATCAAAATCAAGAACACAATTAATGAAGTTAGTGGAAGATTGAGGACTTTAATAGGCAGGATAATAGTAATTCATTTACAAACAAAATTTAATTAATGTTTTTTTTCCGTTAAAAATTTATAACAAATATTTCATAAGTATTCTATGTCATTTTTTAAAAAACTTATAGCAAGCAATACTCAATCCTATTCCTAATCCAACTCCTAATACCTTTTTAATCATAGACTAACATTTAGGTTTCTCTTATACAGGATCCTATTATTTTGGATGAATTTCAATAGATTACTCCAAAGGTGTTTGGCAAGGTGCAATTATCAATTAATCATCAATAAATTTTCTAGTGCAATAATATTCATTAATTTCACCTAAATAATTTAATTCATCTTATAAATTTATATATTTATTATTGCTAGATGTTTCAGATGAAAATGAAGCTACTGAAATATAACTTTATCTTTTCTTTTTGGCTCTTTCACAATTTAAACTTTTCTTAGATTAAAAAGGAACTTTCAAAAATTAAATATCTTCATTATTATGTTCGTCTTCTTCATAAAATCCACAATCTGTTGAAATTCTCTTTTCACAAGCATATTCCATTTTTTCATCCGCTTCTGTTCTAATCCTTGCTTATGGTAAAATATCATTAGCTTTAATTCTTACACTATTTTAAAATCTTGGGGTGCTAAAAGTGCGATCACAAGTTACTAAATCTTCTGTTTATTCTAATTTTAATGGTAGATTAATTTTAATGGCATTTGATTGTTCTTTTAAGTGTATCATTTGCTAAACTAAATTGAGGATTTCGTGTTCCTATTACTATTTACCTGGAAGCTTTGTATTTTCAATCTTTTCTATAAGAGATTCAATTATTTCTAAAATAGATTCTAATAGAAATACTAATTTCATCAACTTAGAGAGAGGATTAATTTGATTGATTTGTGGATTTTTAATTAACTATCATTTGTCTGAGATCAGAGATTAATTACAAAAGTTTAATGATTTTCTTATTGTTATTTGACATGGATTAATTGAGTTAATTGATAGTTAGAATATTTTCTTCATTTTATTTTTGCAACTTAATAATAATACGATAAGAATTACTTTATCATAAGTTTATTTTAATTATTAATTCAGGGAAGATTCCCATTCGATAATTTTGTGATTTTCATTGAATTCAGATTTCACTGTTTCCAATGTATTTTCACAAATTTCAAGACCTTCAACTAATTCAAGTAGTTTTTACTATTTAGAATTAGGTTTTTTAAATGATTATCTTTTCTCCATCTAAACTAACTCAGATTGTTTATTGTCAATTTATTAAATGATCTATTCTTATGATTATTCTAATTGTGCAAATTATGTGTGATATGTAAGATTCTATTATTATGAATGTTCAATCTTGGTAGAAATATCTAACTGCTTGATGTTACTTAAATTAAGTTTAGTTTAAAGCATTTATTTACGATTAGAGTACTGTTGAATAAATTCTCTTGAAAGTGATTTAAGATCGTTGTTATTTGGTATGTATGTCGTATAATAGTTCAAATAATCGAGAATTTGTTGAGTTAGCAATGTTTAGGTATTATTCATTTATAATAAATTAATTTTTATTCGTTTTTATAAATGGGTTGGTTAGGATCGGTGATAGTGATAATTTTGACCTGTATTTTGGGAATAGTTTGGTATTTTGTGCATTTGATAGCACAAGTAAGAAATTATTGCATTATTAATAGGGTTTTACATCATAATATAAAGATGAATAAGACTTTGTAAGTGATCAACTTAGAGGTTTGTTAGGAGTAGAGGATATTTAACCCAGTTCCTATAGACCTACAGTAGAACCATAATATTTATCAGGAATTGTGGATTTAATAGAAACATCAATAGGAGGATTATGGCTAGCATAATTTTTGTACATGATTCTACTTTTATTTCTATTTTTTTTGGCTGTCGATATATGGTTTATTGACTATCCATTTTCATTTATGTTCAATGCAATTATTGGAGCTATAACGGTGATGTTATTTGCATATTATGTAACTACAACAAATAGCAAATCGTTGACAAGAGCTTTAATACAAGTAAATAATATTTAGCAAATATTAAGTCATAATTTTCAAAAGAAGAGAGTTTTGGATACATGTACTCATGTGGATTTGCAATAGCAAGTTTATTGTTTAGTTTATTATTTGGAATGTATGTTTTAATGTATTACTTCAATGTGGCAGTTTGGGGAGGAAATATGAAGAAATAAGAATATGAGAAAGTATCAATATTAATGATTGGCTATTTAATGGGAGTGATATTGGGTGGATTTGTTTATAGAGAAGGAATATCTATAATGTGTAGATCATTAAAAACAGCATCATTCGGTCTCATTAGAGCAGATTTAAATTTAAGTGTTGGCAATAATAATATCTCATAATTGACTAGATTAGCATATATGGTATCTTAATAAGCAGGAAATACTATAGTTAATTTTCTAGATACAGGATTTGTACTCTTATTTTTATGTTGTGCTATCTCATAAATAGTGATTAATAGTCCTGAAATATTGGATAGTGAAAATAGAAGTGCATTTATTTTGGGACCTATCTATTTGATATGTATAGGATATTTAGGATTTATTATTTGTTATTTTTTGAAAACTATTTGTGCAGATTAAGAGACAGGATCGTTTGCTTCTCTTAATGTTAGATGGTAAGTTATTATAGCTGCTGTAATTTCATTTATTGTTCATGTCTCATTTCCATTTTCATTCCTTGTTGATAAATTCACTCTTAAAGGAGAAAATACTAAAGATATTGATTTCTCAGGTAAATCATCAATGCATGCATGTTGGTGTTATTTATTAGGGTTGATTTTTAATGTGTTTCATATCAGTATATTTGAATGGTTCACATCTCATGGTTGTCCAAATGTTAGAAATATGGTAAATTATTATGATCAAATAGGGATTAGCAACAAGTGATCGTATATTACCTATGAATTTGATCTTCTCAAATTATTTGGGAGATTTGTATTCTGCTATTCCAACAGTTTTGATGTTCCTTCTCATTACTATTGTATATTCAATTGAAGGATTTGCAGGATTACTCTTTACAGCCTCTGGATATGTTTCACTATTTATTATCTATGGAGTAATATTCTTTATTGGATCCAATTCATCTGATTCTTATAAATTAACATGTTTTGCTCATTTTATATCTGATGTCTAAGGTAAGATATTTTAGATCTATTGGGAAACCAAAAATTATATGATATTCCTTAAAGCTACTAATGCAGGTACAGCTTTTCTTGTATCAATTGGAATTATTGGAGCTTAACTTTATTAATATCCGACTGCATTAAATTCACTCTTTTTACAAAATGAAGGATTCTTAGGATTATTCATTGGTTTTAGTTTGATATTTGTATGTAGAGGAATAAATACTTGGGGAATAATTAATGTTGCAAAAAATTATGTAATAAGATATTAGAATAATTAGTTTATATTTTAACCATCAGATGAGGCAGAAGGGAAACTGAATTACTTAAAGGATATAAGAATAATAGAATTTACAAAATTCAAATATACTCACAGTATTTTATATGTTGCATATAATATATTGTTTGTTACAATAATGACATTGGTGTTTGGATCAATTTTAGGTCATGCTGGAAGTGTTGCAATATTGATAGGGGCATGTATAGCTGTGTTATTGATTCAATACAATGGATTAATTAAGGGGACAACTTTGGAGAATTCTAGAGTGTATAATGAAAGTATGATTTTGAATTGAGTTGGTAGTCTAAGATAACAGAAAAGATTAACACTATTTAATGTATGTGTCTGGTGATACTTATGCTTGTGCTACTGAGGAAAGCAATGCTTGTCCTTTGATACCATATTTGATTTACATTTTCTGTTTACTAATTTCTTGTTAAAAACATTTTGCAAAAGCAGTAAAATGAAATGATATATTTGAAAATACATCAATATACAAAATTATAATTAGTTATCATAATTTCTTTTGAATACTTAATTCTACACACTATTATAAATCAAATAAATATCAAAAAATAATAGCTCTAATGAGCTGTATTGGATAGGCTTAATAATAAGTTAGTGAGAAACTCATTAAAACTGATGGAGATGATTCAGATACTCCTCTTCCAGAATCTGATAAAGATGATCTCGCATAAATCTTGAATACTGAAGAAAGTAAGGGTAAACCCATTAAAACCCTTAGATTCAGTTAATAAAATCAAGTATGGATTTTTGATAGATCCTAAAAACGACATTAATCTTACAAATCACCTTCTCCACTTGCTAAATAATCTTCACCGTCAATACTTAAAAATAAAAGCACACAAAAAGTAACTAAATAATGAAATATATATTTAAATTAATTCATGAACAATTATAACAAAAACAAAAATCCTAAGTTATCATGTTATTAAACCTTTCTCTAGAAAATTAACTGTTGCTTTGCCAAAAAATAATAAACTCAACTACATAAAACAACCAATAAGTATGATTCTCCCTTTGCCTTCTATGGCATGCCAGGTTCTTTATGTACAGCCAAAGTAACTTTACACAATTTCCTTCTTAAAAAGTTAGGAGAAAAAATTAAAAATACTTCTAAAGAAATACATTCAATATTCATTAATAGATAATCACTAAATTCTTAATAATTATAAGAACTTATGCCTTATATATTCCCCTATATGCATGAATTAATAATAACCCATGAATAATTAAAATCAGTTCTCCCATTTTGTGTTACTTAATATTTGGCTAAAAGAGTAACTTCATTTACTTAAGGATTAATAGTAGATGCAATTACTGGACCTGGAAACTTATCAATTGAAATTGCCTAATTCAATGCGATCTAAGTAGATTCCTACTCTATAGATCAAAATAATGACAATGCCAAATATAATATTTAATAATTTCACTATTACTCTTAACAAAAACAGAACATATACTTAACTTCCTTTTTTTAAAGACAAGAAAAAGCAGATGCAATAATTATTTAATATCAATATCTCAACCATATTCAACTTGATTCTCAACTATATTAATATTTAACTAAGGCTTTCTAACTCTCACCAAATATCGTCCTTGTATTACCTTCAAATATTTAAACTAATGATTTATGTTCTTTTCTAAGTCCTTTTTCACATCAGTATCCTCAAAGCTTCAAGTAATTAGAAATCTAACAGATTAATGTTGGAGGCCTTCCATTATGTTAAATCATATATATTGGATATATTTAAGATTAAGTATAATTAATAATCTTATATAGGAAATCTTGGATTAATAATTAATCAATTGTTATCTTTAAGGATTATTGGCAGATCAACCTAATCTTGATGAGAATTCAATCTCTAATTATAAAAAAGCACTTAATGATGTTATCGCTCAAATTGGAATGTAATAAACATTACTTTTAATTGAAAAAACTTTGGCATCTAAAACTTAATTAGACTTTTCTATTCAATTATTCTTTTAAGAGATTGTTTAACTTAATATTCTTTCTAAAGATAATATAAACAATCAATTAGAATTTTCCATATTTGATCAAACTCCAACATTAAATCATCCTTTGTTAAATGTCAGTTAATCAAGTTTATCCAAAAAATAAAGCTCTTTTAGAATAAGCTCAGATCTTTCAAAGCCCTCATTTCAATAAAATAAATATAAAGTCTTGAGTTTTCAAAATAAAACAATTGAATGATTAATATTTACACATTAAAATCAATTACATTTTTTTACTTATTTACGTTACAATGATTATTATTCTAATATCATCCCTCCTAATTCTTTTTTATCTTTATGTTTCTTAAATATAGTTGATGCTTAAAACTCTGCTCTGAATTCATTCTATATATACTTCTTATCCATACCTTATGAAGAGCCAATAAACATTATGCTAATATCTAGGGTTATAATTTCTCTTTCAATTATTCCCATAACAAATCAACTTTACTAGCTTCACTCTGTATTAATTTAATCTCCTATTTAATCTTTTTATAAGAACTTTTTTAGAATATCAATTAAAATTATTACTCTAACATATTTTATTTGGCTACTCCCAATTTCTGTTTGATTTTCTCATTATTATTTCCGAAATCATCACTCTTTGTGTCCATTTTCTTAAAAATATCTCTCAAATAATCTGTGTAATTTCTTCAATAAAATATATATAAATATATATATTTACCTAGAATTTTAAGAAAAAAAATCTTTATCATCTAAAATACTAAACAAATATTTTGTCTATAATGGCAAACAAACATCCAATATTGAATATGAGTATGACTTTGCAGCATCTATCCTTTCTTACTTATTTGAAGATGTTCTATATTTTAATGCATCTAACAATATTTCAATCTCTGTAGCATCTTTTCCTTGATTTATGCAAACTTCTAATCTTTCAAATAATTTTTATTATTATTCCAAAAATTGAGAAAACTTATACATTTATATAATAACTTACTTTATCCTGTTATTTATTATAATTTTCAATAGATTTTGATAAATTATTGCATTATTCCCTCAATTTATCATTTTCATCTTATAATTCTTGAACCCTAGTTTCTAATAATTCAAAATATATTTTTTTTCTAGCTCTAGAATTTCTAGCTGATTCTCTGTTTCTCACTTATTTTAAACGACTAGGATCTAGGTTTCCATCATTAAGGGAATCAGGATTTTCTGATGAAGATTAATCACTATGTGAAAGATTTAATAACACTTGCTATTCATTTTTTCTCTCCAATTTCTACTAACTCCTTCTAAAAATGAATCAAAATATTTCAATACGATTATCTTGCTTTTGTTGTTACTATTAATTAACCATTGTTTTCTTTCTTTACTAAATTCTAAATTTTATTTGTGTAAGTACTCTTTGTATACCCTACATTCAAAATAATCTAGGATTATAATGAATCTTTAAAATTTTTTTATTCTTCTTTCATATATTTTTCTAAATTTAGAACAACAGAATACTTGATCTTTTTCTCCTCTAATGATTTTAACTAGCATCTCTAGAGTTATCGCCATCACTTCCACTTCTAGGCTAAGCTTCTACAGAGCTATCATTCATAATTTTCAGCCTATCCATTCTTATTTCTTCTAATTAAATCTAATTCGGTCCATAATTTTTATTCACATTGTCAACATCTTCAAAAATTTGTATTTTTGGAAATTCTTATCGTTTTTAATTCTAATTTCTTAAAAAGGGATCTGTTATTCCAGAAAATTCAATCTAATTAGCATTCACATCACATGAACTATATAGATTTGACAATATATAAGTACTCATTGAAATAATATTGCTCACTAATTATAGGATCACACATCAATTATTAGTTTTAAAATATATATATATATCATTAATCAATTATTTTTTTCACATATTATCTTAGATTTGCAGGCCGTTAACAGTTTGGATTATTTTAATTCTAAAAAGTATACTTAACTTTGTTACTTGTGAATTTTGTCTGAAATATTTACAATCGCTAAATAAATTATTACAATCAAACACTGGTCTATGCTAATTCTAAAAGAATTCATTTAAGTTATTTTACTTAATGAATTAACAAAATCAAAGATCTCAATTGAACTGGTTCCAATACTTCATAAATCGTCTTCCAAACTTATTCGATTTTCTAGGTTTCATTAACTATCATCTTGACTGAATTGTATAGATTATTTATACAACTAAACAAATTTATTTAATTTATTACCTTGTTATACTTTTTTTAACACTATTTAACTTCTCTTTGTTCTTTTTTATTCTTCTACATTAATCTTGATTAATATTCATAAGTTGAAATGCTTCTTTAGTCCATTCGAGAAATGAGCTAAATTTATAATTTAATAAATAACCCTTAAAAGTCAGATAATATATCTTTGTTTTGATCATAACTATATATAATATATTTTTATTCTATGGGTAACAAAATCTCCAATAAATTATCAATATATTAATTTCCAATTGTATTCTTATCAGAATTTAGTTGGCAATCTTTCAATTATTCTAAAATAAATTGAGTTGTATTTTGATCTTAATCCTTGATTTAACAAACTTCTAATTGTTCTATTAATTTTTTCTAATTCTCTAATTGATTCTAATACTAGAATGATTTTTAAATTGTTACATTTTCTTAACACTCCTTATATTTTTAGATTTATTTAGCTTAATTTTAACAAAGTTCATTTAATCTATCAATTTCATCCTACAAATCCTTAACCTTTGTTTCTAATAACTCAAAATATAGCCTCTTTCTTGCTCTTGAATTTTTAGCTGCAACTCTATTTCTAGCTAATTTGTCTTCTGACATTTCACCTCCTGAGTGTTAAGAACTTTTTTATTCAGATTAATCCGAAGTTTCAATAAGTTAATGAGATGACTTTCTTTTAATCTTTTATTGACTCTTTCTATCAAATTAATTGAAATATATAATTACGATAGTCGATTTGATTTAGGGTTGGTTGAAATCTATTTATCTACTAATTAACTGATTTTGCTTGTGTAAAGACTTTTAGCATAATGTACATTAAATAGTTCTGAATTGCTCTCTACTATTTTGCTGCTTAATTATTGTCTCATCGATGACCTTTTGAGATGTTGCTTATTTAAAGAATTGTTATCATCAGTATGACTCCAAGATGTTGCTCTTCCATCACTATGAACAGATTAAACTTAGAGTTTTTCAAGTCCTAAATCATCAAAGATTGAGTCTCCTTAATTTTCAAAAGGTTGATCTGATTGAGGTAAATCTGAACAAGAATCTTCAAACACTCTAATCACTGGAAATTCCTTTCTATTTCCATGACAAGACTAATAATCTTTCTCATAATCCCCAATTTATTCATTTTCTATATTACCTATATTATATCGATATACTATAAACCTGATATATGGAAATTTTCAGCTTCCATCCCAATATGTTTATCCATAATATTATTAATTTATATAATCTTTTATTTCTAATTTTTTAAACACATTTATACACAATCAACTACTAAAATTCATTATAAATAATCATTTTATTTTTAGTTTAAACTTTAGTTCTATTCTTACATTTTCAGAAAATAATATATTGTTTATGATTCAATTATACATTTATATTGTTATTATCTTAAGTAAATGCATAGAATTAAAATTTTTCATTTTCTATATTTAAAATATCAATTCTTTCAGCTTAGACATTATAGCAACCTTTCTCCATTCTTTTATTAAATTAGAAAAAAAAATTAAGTTACATCAAATCACTATTATATATTCACATTTTTAGTTTATTAATCAATTTACTCATATTCTTAAAAAATTAGAAGGAATTATAAAATATTTTATATTATTATTAAAATGAGAATTTGATAATAATAAATTTCATTAAAGTTTTAAGTACAATCTCTTATTATTTAAGACTTTTAATAGAAAAAAATAATTATATTTTATTACTAAAATATTAATTTGGTTAAATTCATTAATATAATTGAAGATTTCTTTTAATATTAGAATTAAAATATTTAACAAAAATTTCCTATTTTGTATATGAAAAGAAAAGCTACACTAAAACGAAAAGGAATATTTACTCTTAATATTCTACCAATCGCAGTAAGGAATCATGAAGAATACATGAATGATTTAAAAATGCAAGCCATTCGTTTGTAAATATAAAAAATTGTTCATTTTGATCCAATGCTTAAATCACTTCTAAACTCTAAACCAAATCATAAGAATTATACACGTTCACTTTTCAAGAATTAATTGAATCGATCATACATAGAACAAAAACAATAGGAAATTGAATCGCAATAAAGAGCTAAAAGTACAGAAGGTTCTATATTTGGAGATACAAGTATAAAATATAAACGATTGATATCACGGGGAACAATTTAAATTAAAATGCATAAATTAACAATAAAAAGAAGATTTAGAAAACTTGTATTGGCTGTGTGCTTATTACTTACATACTTTCGATACAATCCAATTAGAAGAAAAATGTAGAGACTATCAAGACCTCGCATTTCCATATTTCGCAGTAGAAATATACTTGATAGATTACCATAACTATTATAAATAGAAAAAGCTAACACAGTCAATGAAAGTTAGACTTCAAAAGAACCACCTTGTTAATTGAAAAAAAAACATTCATCTATGGGAAGTTTTGATGCATTCATGAAGAGACCTATCTAACAATTTATTGTTAGACAAAATACTGATTAATTCTCATAAAAAAGAATATGCAGAACCGAACATTCTTAGGTTTAAAGCATGTATAATTTTTTTAAGAAACAAAGAAAAACAATGTTATTTTTAAAATCATCCTCAATTAAATTAATATCTTTGAACTAATGAATTAAATCTAAATCAATCTTATAGATTATTTGTATATAAAATAAATATTAATTATAAAAATGAATATTTATAACTTTATCAAATAACTTATGCTATTATTTCATATTTGAATGTTCTGCTTGATATCTTATAATCAAAAAATATTTCACTTTTACAATTAATTCCACATATTTTTATAATATGATTTTATACTATTATTAGGGAAATTAAAAATTAAGAATACAGGCAATATAAAATTAAAGGATAATATCTTTACCTCAACCAAAGTTATTCATGAGATTTCCTTTAAATATATAAATCTTATTAATAAATTCAAATCATTGAAGTAACTCAAACGATGGCTTATAATTTTATTGTTAAATTAGGGGTAAATTAATAAAAGTAAGTTTAAAAAGATTATGATTATCAGGTTGTTTTTTTGTACTCAAAAAGCAAAAATATTTTTTTTTGATTATGGATTCACTCCAATAGATGTCAGTCGACCTAATAAAATATTTGAAGATTAAAAATAATACAAATTTAATCTTAAAAATTTATGGGTCTTGAAAGATTATATAGAGAAAATAGAATCAGTGTTAAATGTTTTGGAGGAAATAAATGTGAAAATTAAGACAATTTAAACTTTCCCAAAACCGTTGAGTAAAATTATGGATCAATATTAAATGCTTGGTGAGATAAGCATATTAAATTGTTATTATCCATTATTATTATTTGATTATAAAGAAGTTTTTGATGATACTAAAAGAGGAGATGATACTTTCAGAATTTATTTACATAGTGAAGATGCTTTTGAATTACTTATTAAAAAAAAATTAAATTAGTCTCTTTGATAGAAATCTATAAGTTAGATACCCCATTTTTCTTAAAAATTTGTAAATGTAAGTGAAATAAAGGAGTTAGTACCTTATCTAAAAAATTTATAGTAAATAGGTAAAAATGTTATTTTAATTTATTCAAGTAAAGAACCATAAGGAATGAAAAATGCCAAACTTACTATAGAAGATTTTATGGCTAGAGAATTGTTAATCTTTCCCGAAGATATCAAAAATTATAATGAATAACTAAGATCACTTTACATTAAATCTTAATAATTCACTTTACTATAATAAAAAGAAAATATTCATTAATAATTAATCTTTATTACACTTGGTCAAAAAATGAAATCTCAATAATTATTAAAGATTTATCACAACATAATTTTGAGATTAATTACAAACATTCTAGAAAATCTTAGTGAAAAGAAATTTAGAAATATTTATAAAATAAATAATAGTATAAATCTTAACATTCTATAATATGAAGAAGGAAGATAAATTTTATAATTAATTGGATATAGGGAAGGTGAAAATGATTATAAAAATATATTGAAATAGGTTATGTGTAAATGTCAAAAGCAGATGTTGAAATTGCATGGAAAAAATAATTAGAGAAAAATTTTAAATGAATTAATGTATTTCTATTAATTGTAATATATTGCTTTTAATTTTTATAAATGTAAATTAATTAAATTTCATTTACTATTACAATATTAAAAATAAATAAATTATGAGTGAGAATCATGAGGTTTCAAATATTCTACTATATTCATTTATCTTATTTTTAGTGATTTTAGGGTTTTATTTATTTAGTAAGGATTAAAAACATTGGATTAAGTAAAATTATAATTAAGAATTAGAATTTGTTATATTTTAAAGCGGTTTAGTAGATAAACTAAAAAAGAAAAAGATGATAACAACCTAGAAAAGGACGAGAATCGATAACTTATTCCTCAAATTATCGATGAAGTTGATGAAAGATAGAAGTTTATTAATAAAATTAATTCAGAAAATGAAAATTAATAGAAAGAGCTTAAAAAGTAATTAAAAGAAAAATTTTAAACTTGTCAATAATTTTAAACTGAAGAATATAATATTTGTTAGTAAATCCCTTCATAAAAAGTAATAGAAATCGTAAATTAAATTAATTTAATTTATAAAAATTCTTCATAATTACGTAATGTTGATGAAAATCTAAAATTTTATGTAAGAAAACTATAGGATTAATCTGGATTAAAAAAGAATTATAATTTGAGTTTAGCAGGAAGCAAAAAGTTAGGATAATATTGTAATAAATTTAGAGAGGTAAGAGGAGATGGAAATTGTTTCTATACTGCTTTTGGATATTAATTCTTATCAATTTTATTATTTGAGTATTCTTATGATTAATTCTAACAATTTATGGAAAAAATTAAATAAATCTAATTACCAATGAAAATATTTGTTATTGGCAAATATTTTAAAATTGATGATAAATAAATAGAACAGGAGCTTTTATTAGAATTTATAAAGAGATTGACTTAATTAAAATAAATTGAAGATTTAAATTAAAGATTCGAGTAATTTCATACTTAATTTTCTGCATATTAATAATAATCAGAAGAAGTTGATGGATGTTTATATGGATTATCAACTATATTTTTTAGAAATTATTCAAATTATGTTGTTGATTTTAGTGAAAACAAAGATGCTGTTTATGATAGAGTAAATCTATTAAATTGGGAAGAAGAATGCAATTCCAATGAAGTTGTTATTGTAGAATTAGCTAAACAATTAAATATGTAATTATTTAATATAAAATTCTAGATTTGTTTAATTATTATTCATTGAAAATAAAGATTCGATTATGGTTAATAATTATGGAAATGAAGAGAATAATAAAATTATATTATTAATTAAGCCTGGCCATTATAATATTGGTTATTATCAGGAATAAACAGTTGTTGATTAATTTCTCGAAAAATAATCAAGATTAAGTGATTTAATTAAACTTCATCTAAGTATTGATGAAGATTAGAACGAAAAAAATGTTAAGGAAATAGAATAATTATTATAGTCAATAAATGAAAAATAGAGTAAAATTTAAGATTTGATTAAAAATGGAAAACTTAAAGAAGCAGAAGCCTCAAAATTACTTGAGTTTTCATTATGATGAATTAACTTTAAATAAGAATAAAAATACATAATTTATTAATTTTTTTCTCATTCTAGAATTGGAATCATATAATCATTTATTAAAATCATAAAATTTTGTTAATCGTAAAATCCAAAAATTCTTGAAATTCACAAATATAAAATTCGTAAGCAGAAAACAAAAATTTTTTATATGTATATTTATAAAACTCTGTAAAAATCTTAGTATTCATACTTCATAAAATCATATAAGTGATATATTACTGGTGGAATTACTTCTATTGAAGAGAATAGTGAATAAAATGAAACTCAGATATATTGATGAAAAAAAAAAGAATCAAAACTAATTACAAATAACTAGGATTTTAGATGAAAATAATGCCATAATACTGTCAATTTAATAACTAATTTGGATTTTATACTCTTAAAATTGAATTCTATTTCGGATATTTATAGAAGTAAACGATTATTGAATCTTTGATAAATTATTAAATTATATCTATTGAACAAATAGATTTCATAAATTAGCGAGCTAATGAACTAAGTTAAATATATTATTCTGAATAAGAATAAATTTTAGAAAATTTTCAATTATTATCAATAAATTTAGTAAACATAAAAAATATTCAACATCGATAGAGAAGTAATTAACAAAAATATGAAAATAGGAAATATGTATAAATATTATGTAAAAAAACCTAAAGCAAAGCCTAAAATAAAGAACTACAATCTACTTTTGCAGCTCGTAAGGATTTAGAGAAATATTATAATGCATTTAGAGAAGTTAAAGGAAATGGAAATTTTGTTGCTGTATGATTTTAAACTGGTAATTGATATTTTCAAAAACATTATATAAAATTTGTAATTGTAAAGAAATTATATTTAAAATAATCTGAAGAATTTATTTTTTAAATCCAAGACATCTATCAAATTAAGTTTATGAATAACAGTTTTGATAAATTTGTTCATAAAATGATATTTATATAATAATACTATATCTGATAAAATAATAAATAAATACTTTGAATTCCATCCAAGAAAAAATGATCATATTATTGATAAATTTAAATCCTAAATTTTTCAACAATTTATTTTTTAACATTGTTAGTTATAATACAATTAAAAATATAATAGAAACAATCAATATAAATAATATCAAATTTAATATGTATTTGAATATTAGGAATTAAATTTTTAATATATATAATTATTTAATTTGTTATAGAATTAGATTAATGGAATTTTATTATTGGATTGTTATTATTGTTTGTGTATTTGTGGGGGTAGGTTTGGTTGTATGGTTATGCTTAAGTAATAGAAATTCACAAAATGATTCTGCACAGGAACTATTAAATTAAAATTCTTAATAGAGTAATAACAATAAATTAAAAGAATAAAAGCCAGATAATAATCGAAATAATTAAAATTGGAGAGATAATTCTCCATATTAATCAAATAAAGAAGTTAATTAGTTAAATCAAAAATAATAAACAAACTCGAGTAGGAATGACAGTGTGCATAATTCTAATTCTATTAAAAGCTAAGATGATTAAAACTAATCGGGATAAAAGAGAGACAGTTCATTAAAAAATGGTATTCACTTTATGAATAAAATAGATTAAAAAGTTAATTAATAAAAAAGTGTGGAATTAACAAAAGATGAAAAATAATAGAATTATCAAACCAAATCACCCTAAAGACCAATAAGGCAATAAAACATCTAAATAAATATTGAAAATTAATCATAGACTAATAAAGATTCTTATATTATAAATTTTGGACAAGATAAATAATAATAATAAAATTAATAATAATGGGATCTTGCTACGCAGCAAAAATCATTTTAATCATAAAAAATTGAATTAGAAACGAAAATTGATGAGTAAAATAATTTTGATAATTCGAATCTTCAACTAAGACATGATTAAAAAGGGTATAAACCGGATAGTATTAATTCAGAAATATCACCTAAAGCTATTATTAATCCTTCACCTATTATTACTCCTTTACATTTTATCCCTCCTTTACCTGGCCATTATAATATACGATATATTACATAAAATAATTAATAATCTTAAGAAATATCACCCCAATAAATATAAATAGAAGAAACATTGGTAATGAAATTTAATTATAAAAGCCTACTTATTCAAAAGAAAAGCATTTAAATCAATATTTAGATGAAATTAAACAAAATACTTCTGAATAAGAATATAAACAAGAAAAAGTACAATAATTGAGACTTGATTAAAAAGGGTGTAAACCAGATAGTATTGTCATTCATTCAAAAATATCACCTAAACCTAATCCTCCCCCACCCATTACTCCTTTTCCATCTAGTATTAGAAAAATTATTTATGAACTTTATGAAATAAGTTCTCAATAAAGGTAAATAGAAGATTAATTTAAATACTATGTAAGATAAAAATAGGATTAATCTGGATTAAAAAAGAATTATAATTTGAGTTTAGCAGGAAGCAAAAAGTTAGGATAATATTGTAATAAATTTAGAGAGGTAAGAGGAGATGGAAATTGTTTCTATACTGCTTTTGGATATTAATTCTTATCAATTTTATTATTTGAGTATTCTTATAATTAATTCTAACAATTTATGGAAAAAATTAAATAAATCTAATTACCAATGAAAATATTTGTTACTGGCAAATATTTTAAAATTGATGATAAATAAATAGAGCAGGAGCTTTTATTTGCATTGATAAACAGATTGATTGAATTAAAAAAAATTGAAGATTTAAATTAAAGATTCGAGTAATTTCATACTTAATTTTCTGCATATTAATATTAATCAGAAGAAGTTGATGGATGTTTATATGGATTATCAACTATATTTTTTAGAAATTATTCAAATTAGGTTGTTGATTTTAGTGAAAACAAAGATGCTGTTTATGATAGAGTAAATCTATTAAATTGGGAAGAAGAATGCAATTCCAATGAAGTTGTTATTGCAGAATTAGCTAAACAATTAAATATGTAATTATTTAATATAAAATTCTAGACTTGTTTAATTATTATTAATTGAAAATAAAGATTCGATTATGTTTAATAAATATGGAAATGAAGAGAATAATAAAATTATATTATTAATTAAACCTGGTCATTATAATATAGGATATCTTATATAAGATAATTAATAAGCTTAAGAAATATCATTTCAATAAATATAAATAGAAGAAACATTGGTAATGAAATTTAATTATAAAAGCCTACTTATTCAAAAGAAAAGCATTTAAATCAATATTTAGATGAAATTAAACAAAATACTTCTGAATAAGAATATAAACAAGAAAAAGTACAATAATTGAGACTTGATTAAAAAGGGTGTAAACCAGATAGTATTGTCATTCATTCAAAAATATCACCTAAACCTAATCCTCCCCCACCCATTACTCCTTTTCCATCTAGTATTAGAAAAATTATTTATGAACTTTATGAAATAAGTTCTCAATAAAGGTAAATAGAAGATTAATTTAAATACTATGTAAGATAAAAATAGGATTAATCTGGATTAAAAAAGAATTATAATTTGAGTTTAGCAGGAAGCAAAAAGTTAGGATAATATTGTAATAAATTTAGAGAGGTAAGAGGAGATGGAAATTGTTTCTATACTGCTTTTGGATATTAATTCTTATCAATTTTATTATTTGAGTATTCTTATAATTAATTCTAACAATTTATGGAAAAAATTAAATAAATCTAATTACCAATGAAAATATTTGTTACTGGCAAATATTTTAAAATTGATGATAAATAAATAGAGCAGGAGCTTTTATTTGCATTGATAAACAGATTGATTGAATTAAAAAAAATTGAAGATTTAAATTAAAGATTCGAGTAATTTCATACTTAATTTTCTGCATATTAATATTAATCAGAAGAAGTTGATGGATGTTTATATGGATTATCAACTATATTTTTTAGAAATTATTCAAATTAGGTTGTTGATTTTAGTGAAAACAAAGATGCTGTTTATGATAGAGTAAATCTATTAAATTGGGAAGAAGAATGCAATTCCAATGAAGTTGTTATTGCAGAATTAGCTAAACAATTAAATATGTAATTATTTAATATAAAATTCTAGACTTGTTTAATTATTATTAATTGAAAATAAAGATTCGATTATGTTTAATAAATATGGAAATGAAGAGAATAATAAAATTATATTATTAATTAAACCTGGTCATTATAATATAGGATATCTTATATAAGATAATTAATAAGCTTAAGAAATATCATTTCAATAAATATAAATAGAAGAAACATTGGTAATGAAATTTAATTATAAAAGCCTACTTATTCAAAAGAAAAGCATTTAAATCAATATTTAGATGAAATTAAACAAAATACTTCTGAATAAGAATATAAACAAGAAAAAGTACAATAATTGAGACTTGATTAAAAAGGGTGTAAACCAGATAGTATTGTCATTCATTCAAAAATATCACCTAAACCTAATCCTCCCCCACCCATTACTCCTTTTCCATCTAGTATTAGAAAAATTATTTATGAACTTTATGAAATAAGTTCTCAATAAAGGTAAATAGAAGATTAATTTAAATACTATGTAAGATAAAAATAGGATTAATCTGGATTAAAAAAGAATTATAATTTGAGTTTAGCAGGAAGCAAAAAGTTAGGATAATATTGTAATAAATTTAGAGAGGTAAGAGGAGATGGAAATTGTTTCTATACTGCTTTTGGATATTAATTCTTATCAATTTTATTATTTGAGTATTCTTATAATTAATTCTAACAATTTATGGAAAAAATTAAATAAATCTAATTACCAATGAAAATATTTGTTACTGGCAAATATTTTAAAATTGATGATAAATAAATAGAGCAGGAGCTTTTATTTGCATTGATAAACAGATTGATTGAATTAAAAAAAATTGAAGATTTAAATTAAAGATTCGAGTAATTTCATACTTAATTTTCTGCATATTAATATTAATCAGAAGAAGTTGATGGATGTTTATATGGATTATCAACTATATTTTTTAGAAATTATTCAAATTAGGTTGTTGATTTTAGTGAAAACAAAGATGCTGTTTATGATAGAGTAAATCTATTAAATTGGGAAGAAGAATGCAATTCCAATGAAGTTGTTATTGCAGAATTAGCTAAACAATTAAATATGTAATTATTTAATATAAAATTCTAGACTTGTTTAATTATTATTAATTGAAAATAAAGATTCGATTATGTTTAATAAATATGGAAATGAAGAGAATAATAAAATTATATTATTAATTAAACCTGGTCATTATAATATAGGATATCTTATATAAGATAATTAATAAGCTTAAGAAATATCATTTCAATAAATATAAATAGAAGAAACATTGGTAATGAAATTTAATTATAAAAGCCTACTTATTCAAAAGAAAAGCATTTAAATCAATATTTAGATGAAATTAAACAAAATACTTCTGAATAAGAATATAAACAAGAAAAAGTACAATAATTGAGACTTGATTAAAAAGGGTGTAAACCAGATAGTATTGTCATTCATTCAAAAATATCACCTAAACCTAATCCTCCCCCACCCATTACTCCTTTTCCATCTAGTATTAGAAAAATTATTTATGAACTTTATGAAATAAGTTCTCAATAAAGGTAAATAGAAGATTAATTTAAATACTATGTAAGATAAAAATAGGATTAATCTGGATTAAAAAAGAATTATAATTTGAGTTTAGCAGGAAGCAAAAAGTTAGGATAATATTGTAATAAATTTAGAGAGGTAAGAGGAGATGGAAATTGTTTCTATACTGCTTTTGGATATTAATTCTTATCAATTTTATTATTTGAGTATTCTTATAATTAATTCTAACAATTTATGGAAAAAATTAAATAAATCTAATTACCAATGAAAATATTTGTTACTGGCAAATATTTTAAAATTGATGATAAATAAATAGAGCAGGAGCTTTTATTTGCATTGATAAACAGATTGATTGAATTAAAAAAAATTGAAGATTTAAATTAAAGATTCGAGTAATTTCATACTTAATTTTCTGCATATTAATATTAATCAGAAGAAGTTGATGGATGTTTATATGGATTATCAACTATATTTTTTAGAAATTATTCAAATTAGGTTGTTGATTTTAGTGAAAACAAAGATGCTGTTTATGATAGAGTAAATCTATTAAATTGGGAAGAAGAATGCAATTCCAATGAAGTTGTTATTGCAGAATTAGCTAAACAATTAAATATGTAATTATTTAATATAAAATTCTAGACTTGTTTAATTATTATTAATTGAAAATAAAGATTCGATTATGTTTAATAAATATGGAAATGAAGAGAATAATAAAATTATATTATTAATTAAACCTGGTCATTATAATATTGGTTATTTGATAAAAGAAAATAATTATAATAATAATTAAATTAAAAATACATAGGAGGTATTTTATCAATTTAAATTAAAGAATTATACTAATGTAGAAAATCGCCAAGAAATATGAAGTATCTGAAACAAATAGAAATAATTATAATAATGACTTTTTAATTATTTAAAAATTGTTATTCAAGATTTCTTAATCTTTATCCAATTGTTTATTTGTAATCGATACTACATTAATATGTATTATATTATTATTATGTTTTTCATCACATTTAAAAAAACAATATTATAAGCAAGTATCATTTATGGATATTTTTATAAATAGAAGCCCATTTTATTGATTACTTAAAATATTATTTATAGTATTAGATTTTAAAAAATAGAAAAAAATTAGAGAATTAAGAAAAAAGTTACAAATGATATAATATTTAATTTGATGTGGTAAATTTAATGATGTTTTTTATTTGCTGCGAGAGAACTCAATTAAAAACTCGATTAATTGTATCTAAGAAATAATTATATTTCTAATGAGCAAACCAATTTTATTTTAATTTAATGATGCCGTCACTCTTGCTGGAGAATAAATTACAGGATTTTGCTATGTTAGAATTCCTTTAGATATGCCTAAAGTTTAAATTGTTTTGACTTTCTAAACAAAAGAATATTCAAAGGTTTTAGAAAAGAAACAAGTAAACGTTAACAAAATAAAAATTAGATTCCGTATGATGAAAGTAACCCTTAGATGATACCTGAGAAGCTAATAGAGAAGAAATAGTCTGTATAAATTACTCTGGATTCTCCAATTGGTTAACAAAAATATGCATAAAAGAAATATGAGTTAAATGGAAACCTATTATATCGAATTTTTAGGTATTATGGAACACATGACTCTTTTATATATACCTAAGAACTTTATAATGGTAGTGTTAAAGCTGGAGACTATAAATTTAATTTCAATATTCCAACCTAATTCAATATGCCTTCTAGTTTTTAATACAAAAGTAATGATGGTATAAATAATTTAAAATTGTAATAGGTCAAAAATAAGGAAAATGTGGTTATATGGTGACTTTAAAAATTGATTCTCCAGAAGAAGCTAGAACAATAATGACTGAGAGTACTGATGTCTATCTCAATAGTAGATTTAAAGAAACTGAATAATTTAGATAATTAGAGGGAAATATAGTTCATTTTCTTTGTTTAAATAGTGGAGCTGTTGAATTATCGGTGAAATTGAAAACAAATAAATTTACACCTGGAGATAGAATAACAGTTGAATACTCTGTTGATAACACTCGTTCTTAGAGACCTATTAATAGGATAGAAGCAAGAGTAATAAATAAATTGATTTTCATTGACAATGATGAAGTCGAAAGAATTATTGAAGATTTAGTAGTTGTGTCTTAATAATGGAATGGTCTTTCAGCAGGATAAAACAAAGATAGAATTCTTTCTATTTTAGAATTACCAAAAGAATTAAAAGCATCTTTGAAGACTAATACTATTAAAAATTAATATTTTTTTTAATTAGAAGCAATAGTTGTAATTAAATTATTTTTAATATAAGGATTCATTTTTAACTTGGCTTTCAGTACCTGTGATTTGTTAAATCCCAATACATATTTAAGAATTATAAATGCTACCAAGAATTAATTTAGATGGTTGGAATCTAGTCTCAAATTTAAATGTTAGTATTGGCAACTTTCCAAATGTTTCTATAGAATAATCATACATACCTTGATGAATATATATGTATATTTTATTATTAAAATATTTGAATATTTTTTCTAATGGATAAAATCAAGAAACTCAACTTAGATTCTGAATAATTTTAAATAGATCATTTGAGACCTATTCCATCACTTCTAAATGGGAGTAGATTGTATTGGAATGAGATTAGCATGCTTAATAATTTATAATGGAATTATACACTTTAAATAAATAGTGATAAATTGAGTTAGGTAAAGGAAATTATATAGAAAGCTTGTCGCACTTAAGTTAGTGATTAAGAATACAAGGTACAAAAAAAATCTTTACTATAGTTGATTTAAGACTTTTTAGAAAACGATGAATATTTATTAAAGAATTGTGGATTTACAACATCAAGATTACCAGATATTATAGAAAATAATGCAAATATAGTCCTCTTTTTCTTATAGAAAAATGTGAAATCTTAAGATTTCTAAGAGTAAAACATTTAATTATTTAAGTTATTTGGATGTTTTTATTACTATTGATGTTACTCCTGCTACGATTGAATTAATTGCTATGATAAATTATTAAATGAAAATACCTCCTGATTTCCTAACATATTACGTGCATTATTGTATATAATATTGTAATAATATAAAAGTATATAATATTATAAAATCATATAGGAAAAATAAACATAAACCAAAATAGTTAAATATGTCAGTATATTTATTCGACACTTTTTAAAAACAAAAGCAATAGCTATCAAAGATCTTCTAACAGAAGTAAGGTTTTTATATTACAGAAGCTGCAAGCATTTTGCATAGAATTTACCAGAGTTAATGAAGTATCTTAACTTTTTAAATCTGTCAAAGCTTTCAATGAATTAGGAGTATGAAAAAATCTAATATAAATTACTTAAAATAATAAAATAAGAATTAATTTTTACAGTTCATTTGAGCCAATGGATTTCGAAATTAGTTTAATTTAGAAACTTGTCTTTTCCAATACCTAAGCTCTTTTGTACTAAATAAAATAAAAAATTTAAGAATTACATTGTTAATGTAGTTCTAAAAATTGTTTATCAATTTAATTAAAGTTGTATCTAATCATATTTATTTCATTAATGTTTTACCCAAGTTTTTCAAATATATCAGAGGATTTAGAGTTTTGAACAGAATTTTAGTTAAATTAATGAATTTCTTCTCTAATCGGAGATGGACTTTTATGAATATTTCTCAATTTTTCTCTTGGATCATTAAAGACTTATTCTTTATTGGATTGATTGTTGGATTTATTGTATAATTCCCATTTATTATTTTTTTTATTAGATGATCCATCTACTTTAATTTGATTTATATTAGTATCCTTTTGTTCACTTTTATTTTTTGTTGAAGTATCTATTTCCTATTTTTTCTGTTTATCTTTAGATTACTTTTTTAAAGACTTAATATTTTTCTTCCTTTGATTATAAAGTTATTCATCTTAAATTCCATAAACCCTAATTCTTTTCAATCCCTTGTATTCTTTTTAAGTGTAATTCAAGACTTATATAATCATTTAATTGAATATTTCTTAGGAGACTTCATTAATGTCTACATTTTAAGTTTTATTCCATTGAATATCCTTTTTCCAAATTATTTTGTCATAATAAAGTTCATTATTGTCATCTCCTTTTAATTGTATACTAACTTCATCTGCATTAAAATTCTCTATGTTAATTAAATTGAAATACATATAGATATTTGAGAAATCACAGCATTCCCAAAATCTATAGTGATTTTTGCTTCTGCATCTTTAGTGTACCATTCTCCACTTGCCTTGATGATATTACCAATATCATTAATTGAAGTTTATGGATTAACATCTACAATTTTCAAAATTAATTCTTCTCCCATAAAATTTAATATTTAATATTCGTAAACACGTGTTTATGGACCAAAGAACACCAATACAAAGGTTAATCGAAGAATTACACACAGGATCACCTGCTTAATTGTTAGAAGTAGCAAATCAATGTGAATAATCACCAAACATCTTATTGACAAAAGCAATCTTGTTAATAAATAATAAGAATTATTAAGAAGCATCATTACTTTTAAAAGGACTTAAAGATCATTAATAATATCCTTTTACAAGATTGTACCTCTACTATGCTGAAGGATAATATCAACAGGTTGTATCAGAATGTAGAAAAAATGTACCTGAAGATCAACTTTTAATGGGATAAGCTTATTTGAAGTTAGGAGAATTTGAACAAGCTATTTAAGTATTTTAAAAATTACTTAAAGAGGTATCAAAAATTATCTATTTTAAAGAATAAATTCCAAAATGACTAACAAGATATTTTAACAAATATTGCGAATGCAGCAATTCAATAAAATGATTAAAATCAAATGAAATAAGTAAATTAGTAGATTCTTGAATTCATAAGAAAGAATAAAAATTAATATGCTAGAGAGTTGTTACTTAATCATGCACTGCTTAATTTTTAATTGAATGAGTAAATTTTATATTTAATATAAAACATAGTCTGAAAACAGCTAAGGAACTTACAATCAGATTTGAAAACATGGTCAAAGTAGAGAATGAATAAGATGAAGATTTATTTTTAGCTCAATTACTTTTAGATGTTATTAATCCCGGAGATTATAAAAACAAAGTTAAACAGTAATATTAATATGTTAATTTCTAGATATGAACTTTTAGAGAAGACATCTGAGTAAGCAGTACTATTAAATAACTTGGCAGTATTTTAAGAATTTACTCATCCACATCATGATTCATTAAAAAGAGTTGAAGAAGCATTATCATTAGATTATAAATTTACACCTCAATAACTCCATATCTTAAAAATTAATAAATCAATTTTATAAATTATTAAGAATAGACCAACTAAAGAATAAGGATTACCTTTATCTCTTTAGATCGCTATCAACAGATTAAAATGGGAATAACCTATTGAGGATGTACAATAATATCTTATATTTGCTACTAATAATGATAATACAAATAAAGTAATTGAATTATGTGATGTAAAAAATTGGAATCAGAATAAAGTGTTAAGTACTTTTATTTTGGCTCATATTCTAAAATTACCTGATGATACTCTATATTAAAAATAAATTTAATTAATTGCTTAATATCACAAGTCTTTAGTATGCAATTACTATATTAAACGAGGAAATCTTGATTAAGCTTTATAATACTATACAGATGATTAATAAATCAAAAGTCAACTTGCTTTATTATGTATTGAAAAAGGATAATTTGTCTAAGGAGCAAAATTTGTAGATTCTTTATAATTTGATGGCATAACTGATATGAATGAGATTGAAAACTTAGAAAAGAATATTGGTTTATCAAAGAAAGTTGAAGTCTAAGTTAAAAAAATTTAAAAGAAAAAGAAGAAGAGAATTAGATACCCAAAAAATTTTGATAAAACTAATCCTGGCCCATTACCAAATCCAGAAAGATGGCTACCTAAATATGAAAGAAAAGAATGGAAAAAAAAGAAATAAATTCACAGTAGAACTCAAGGAGGTAATGCAGGAAATGAAACTGTAAACACTTTTAAATCTAGTGGAGCTTCTACTGCATAAGTTAGCGCTGCTTAGAGAAAAACAAATAAATATAGAAAATGATAATTTAATAGTATATTATCTTTAAAATTCCATATTAGATTTATTAGATTATAATATCAAAGTTAGTTTTCTAGTTATTATACTTGATTCTCTAATTCTATAACTACATTATTAAAAAGGTTAAGATGACCTTTCATATTTTTCACATTATCTTTAAGACTTTAAACTAATATATTTGTCTAAGTTATAGAATTTTATTCTAATTCTTCTTTAACCTCACTCATATCCTTTTTTATTAGCTCATAATCATGTATTTTATTCTATTGAGCTTTTATTAATACTTCATTATCCTTATTCCTCAATTGTAGTTATGACACATTATCCTAAAGTTTTTTTATTTTGGGATTCTTAATATGCTTAATATGATAAAAAGGAATCCCAAATCCAATAATAAATCCAATACTAATTCCAATAAAAACTTTTCGATCAAAAATTTTCTTTAAAATATTAATCATAATTACTTTAATATGATAAGATGAAAAATTAAATTCTTATTCATTAATGTTAATAATCATCCTATAAATTATATGTATTATTCCTATATAAGAACGCTCTTTTTGATATTGATCTAATATTGTAATCTAATTTTTATGATATGTAAGTTTTTTTGACTCAATTCATTAAAGCAATGAATTTTATTATTTATGCCATTTATCTGTAATAATGAAAGATTTTTATAAGTTAAAATTTCACTACAGTTGCGTGTTTTATATAATGAGAAGAATTAATTAAAGATATTTTAGAATTAATTTATAAAAAGCTTTAGTAAGATATTATTGATTTTATTTCATAATTATCAATCAGATTTATATTTGTTACTTTAACATTTTTATTCATCTTAGCTTTTATTAGAATAATTACGCACACCCACATTCTTACCGAGTTTGTTTATTATTTTTTGATCTAACTCTTTATTTGATTAATATGGAGAATTATCTCTCCAATTTTAAATATTTCGATTATTATCTGGCTTTTATTCTTTTAATTTATTGTTATTACTCTATTAAAGATTTTAATTTAATAGTTTCTGTGGAGAATCATTTTGTGAATTTCTATTACGTAAACATAAATATACAACTAAACCTACCCCCCCAAATACACAAACAATAATAACAATCCAATAATAAAATTCCATTAATCTAATTCTATAAAAATTAAATAATTATATATATTAAAAATTTAATTCCTAATATTCAAATATATTCTAGATATAAATGTTGATTGTAGATTTTAATGATTGCTTCATGTTCTGAACTTAGATGAAATTTTATAATTGTTTATTTATGAATTCTTTCTGGCAAAGTAAGAGGATTTATGAAAAATTTATGAATCTCAAAAGTTTACAGTTATTTTTAGAGAAATTTGATAGTGAAAAATATAGATAAATTAAAAAGCTTTAGTATTTTTGTGTTTGGATTATAAACTAAAAATTCTATTATAAATTACAGATTTGATTAAATTTAATTATAATTTTTTAGTTTACTATTAATTCAGTTTTTTAAAATAATATTTTTTTACTTTTATACATCAGGTAATGCTTTTCTATAATATAATTTATATTATGGGGCTGGGGGTTATTAAATTTATAATTTATATTAAAAAGTTAATTTATTTAGAGTGGGTCTATTATCCATAGCTTTATTAGTCTTCCCTAAAAGCCAAGCAATTTCTGGATTCTCATAAATCTTTTCTCAACATATAAGTTTTTTGTTCATTCAAATCAAGAATTAGGGTTGAAAGTTATGTGTTCAAATTAAAAGCCTTTCAAAATTTAATAAAGCGAGTAGTATAAAGCTAGATCTGTTTTAGCTAGTTATTTGCTTTAGATTATAAAAACAGTTAGAATGGATTTAGCTTTGCTGAATAAGATTTTAAGAATAAATTTTAATTTCAGAAAAGATCTTGTTTAAAAGTTGTTTCTTCACAATTGTAGAATTATCTAAAACATATAAAATAGTTATTTTCTATTTTATAAATTAACATTAATTTATCGATTAACAATTTTAACTAATTGGAATTTAAATCTAAGTATCAACTTAGATTAAAATTTTTTAAGCAATAGATGGATTAAATTGCAACATCAGAAATTTTTTTTTGTTTGAGTTAAAATATAGAAACCCCTAACAACAAGACAAGATCAACAAATCTAATACATTAAAAATCGATAAGAACTTAAGTAGCTTATACTTTTTAAGAATAAATTTTGATGAATTTAGAATTTGATTTTTTGGATTACTATTTGTAAATTAAGTTATTGATTATATATATTTATATAATTATTCGTATACATAGTATTATTAAAATTATGCACGATTATAAGTATCCAAAGATTGATGCTAAGCATTTTCATTATCACAATGATGGCACTGGAAGGTTAAATTAATATAAATTTTTTAGGGATCAATATGTAAAACATGTAAATGGTGGTTTATTCTCTTAAAAGATGCTAAATTCACTTGATTTGTCTCCAAAGGCTGATTACACTAAGATGATATTTCCTAAAACTGCAACAAAGTAAATTAAATCGTAAATTAGTAGTTCTAGAAGCAGAGGATTGCTTCCTCCTTAACATTAAAGAATTCAGCATTATTTTGGTGATGGAAAAGGGAGAGATTTTTTTGTAACGATTAATGATGGTGGGTAAGTGCAATTAAAAAGTTGGAAAGATCATCCAGATGAGGCATTTCCAGCCTAATTACGAAAATATGGAAGAGAATACTCTCAACCTGACTGTGTTAAGTACTTGATGTCAAATAATACAAAATTATAATAATTGACAGAAACAATGAGATTGAGATAGAGTGCATTTACTAAACACATTAGTGCCCCAAAGAAATAATCTAGTCCTTAATTATAGAGTTTTATTCCAGATTTGAAGGAAGGTGGGAAATATCAGACATACCAATAACTGAAGTACTAGAGTAAGGCATGTTCTTTTGCAGAATGATACATAATTTGATAAATCATATCCTCAAACGCACCTGATTTTGAGCTATCAATCTTTAGATGACAGGGTTATCGACATGATTGGATAATTCTTCCCCATATAATTCAATGAACATTGAGGCTTTCTTGGGTAGAGTACAATAGCATGTCTTTTCAGTAGGTTCTGAATTCTCTAGAGCTTCAAGTTCTTTGATAACATCTTTAACATTATTCTTGGTAACTTCAACAAGTTTAGTATTGATAAGACAGATTCTAGGATAAATTAAATAAATTACTCTTTAGTTTCAGAGACAGGGGGTTTAGGAGTGGGTGTCACAGGAGGAGGAACATTGATATCTAAGAGAAAGATATAAATAATATAATACCTTCAGGGAAGACAGGTCTAGAGGCTCCACCACATAGATTCATTCTGAATTTACCAATGTGGCCATTCCATGAAGGATAGAAACGATCTTTACCAATATTTAAGTAGACTTATGGTACTAAATAATGGTTAACATTTTCAAAGAGTATAGTTTCTTTTCTATCCTTAAATTGAACATATCCTTCTGCCTTTCTGGTATCTCTGTTGTATGAATAGAATATGAAATGCCAATTGGTTTATTGTTGTTTCTATGGAACAATTTTAGCAAGATTAGGATCTCCAGCTCCATTAAGATTCTTATAAGAATACGTAGCAAATGCATAGATGCCATCTTATGCTGGTGAGACCCAAGCAGCTAAAGTTCTATCTCCCAATCTTTCAGCATTTTTATTGGTCTCTTCTTTATTAATGTGGAGACGGAAAGCTAAATGCCATTATTCCATGGTTGTCTATTTCCATTTGAACCAACCAGATAAACTGTATTCAGATGGGAAAGCAGCAGCTGGATCTGATGGAATTTCTAATACTGTAGCTTTGGCTACTTCAAATTTCTTTGATTCTTGAATAAGAACTTATTCAACAGCTTTAGAACATACTTCTTTTGGTTGAGGATTGCAAGCTAAAGCAAACTTATTCAATTCATCAACAGTATCAAGATGAGCACCAGCACCAATCTTAAATACAGCTCTTGTTAATTAACCATTAATAGTTGGATATAATTTCAAATCTGATCCTCCAATAATAAGTCTTAAATATGTTGGTTTATCATGAGTTACATCAAATGTTACTGATTATGGTTCTTTTCCTGTATATTTAACAAAACCTACTGCTTAACTGGTAATACTGCTATAACTGAAATAAATATATGTCCAAACACCTTCAATATCTCCATATTCTATATTCTTATTCAAATTCCAATTATTACTCTTATAATCATTTGTAATAAAAGTATATGCTCCTTATCCTTACCATATTGCTAATAATCTATCTCCCTTTTCAACATTCTAATACTGCTTATTAACTGTCAATCTACTCATGAAATACCATGGTTCACTCTTACCCTAATACATTGGTTTAGGATGTCTACTCAAATATCTAACCCAATATGAATAGCCATATTCTCTAATATCTTTCAAATTCTCTGGAGTAGCTTCAATATCAGCCAAAGGTTTCACATCATCATATGCTGAATCAACTATTGTTTCATCTCCCATCTAACACTTTGGTTCTGGTAATGGTTAAGGTGGTTCTACTGGAATAACTGGAGGTTTTGGTAATTCAGGTGGATTTCCTGGAGTAAATTAAGGATTATATGGATCTTAACAATTAACAAATGTCACATCTGCTATATATCCATTGAAAGCTGGGTAGAATTAATCCTTTCCTATCAATATTCTCAATATTGGAACCAAGTAATGATTTACATTTGGGAATTTAACATCTAACTTACCATCCTTGAATATTGTTGATCCATATGCTTCTCTTGTCTCTCTGTTATATTAAAATGTTATGTAATGCCATTCTGTATGCTTATTTTAATGCTTTATAACCTAAGCTGAATTTGGTTAACCTGCTCCAAACATATTTGTATAAGTATAAGTAGCAAATGCATATAATTACTAATCACTTAACCATACTGCTAATGTTCTATCTCCCAATAAATCTGCATTCTTATTGCTCTTTTAATCATTGATGGTAATTCTAAATGCCAAATGCCATGGTTCTTATTTTGTTGGTTCCCATTTATACCAACCACCTATGCCATACATAGTTGGGAAAGGTTATTTCTCATCTCTAACATGTTCATAGAATTCTGGTTGAGTTGATTCATATTTCTTTATTCCTTCAATCAATTTGCTTTCACTCTTGCCCTTACAATCTGGTTCTGGTCTTGGATTACATGCTAAGACAAATTTATTGAAATCATCTTCAGTATTAACAAATGAACCTGCACCTAATTTAAGAATAGGTGATGAGATTTGACCATTGAATCCTGGATATTATTTGAGATCAGAACCACCAACAATCAATCTGAGGAATTTAGGTTAGTCATGTTTAGCATCAATAACAGTGAATGAGGTCTTATCTGCTACTCTAACAATACCAACAGCTTATCCTTATTTATAACTGAAATGAATATATGTCCAGACACCTTCAATATCTCCATAAGGAATTTATTTATTAATATTTGGATTACCTGATGCAACATCATTAGTAATGAATGTATATCCAGCTTAACCTAACCAAATAGCTAATAATCTATCTCCCATTCTAATATTATCATATGGATCATTATTAGTTAATCTTGAGATGAAATACCATGGTTCACTGGCACCTTTAAGAAGGCTATCTGGCCATCTGGTAAGCCATCTAGTCCAGAAACCATAACCATATTCAATAGCACTTCCTAATTTATCTTCAGTAACTTTAAGATCAACAACTTTATCTCCACTAGAGGGCATGTCTCCAATTTGAACTTATCCACTAACACATTTTCTAACAACTTCAGGTTCTTATGGTTTAGGTGGTTAAACAGGTTCTTCTGGTTTAGTAGGTGGTGGTGTAGATGGTACTTAAGGTGGTTTAGGATCTTCTGGGAAGACTGGAGTAAATGCTCCACCACATAATTATAATCTTAATCCTCCAATATGACCATTGAATGCAGGATAGAATCTGTCTTTACCTATGTTAACAAATACAGAATTGGTGAGATAATGATTGATGTTATCCATGTTGACATTTTCTTTTCTCTCTTTCCATTATAAGAAACCAACTACTTGTCTCTTGGCTCTGCTATATCCAAGGAATACAAAATGCCATTAAGCTAATTGATCTTTGTATGGAACTTACACATATTTATTTGGATCCCCTTCTCCATTCAAATTAGTATAGGTATATGTAGTAATAGCATAGTTTCCATTATTTCCTACAAAGGCACCGAGTGTTCTATCTCCCAACTTTGCAGCATTGGCATTTTCCATACCTTTATTTTAATGTAAACGAATAGCTAAATGCCATGGTTCCATAACAGTAGATCTCCATTTGAACCAACCACTAATTGAATATTCATCTGGGAATGCTTATTCATCTGGTGATACTATTTCATTAACTTCGCTAGTTTAAGCTTCAAATCTCTTAGATTTTTCAATCAATAAGATTTCTTTAGCTTTATTACAAACAGGTAATGGTTATGGATTACAAGTAAGTGCAAATTTACGGAATTATTCAACAGTTTCAACAAAAGAACCTGATCCTACTTTAATAACAGCAGAAGTGAATTGGCCATTGAAGCCTGGATAGAGAGATCCTTAAGTGCCACCAAGAACAAATTACAAATAATCAGGTTTATCATGTGTAGCAGCAACAGAAACTGTTTAGGGTTCTTTATTTTCATATTAAATCCATGCAACTACTTTACCAGCAGAAGTATATGAAAAATGAACGAAAGTCCAAGTAGCTTCAATATCACCAACAAATGCTGGACGACCAACAACAGTATTGAAATTATTAGCCTTATGATCATTAGTAATAAATGCATAATCTCCTTATGCTTAATAGATAGCTAATAATCTATCACCTTTTTTAACATCATCGAAATCCTTATTACTTGACAATCTGGATACAAAATACCATGGAGCTCTCTTACCTTAATACATAGGAACAGGATGGCGTGTCATAAATCTCATCCAGAATTAATATCCATATTCTCTGACATCTTACAATTATTCTGGTTTATCTAAGACTAAATTGATCAATGGTTTTTATGAATCAAATGCACTATCAGCAATAGCAGGATCACCTTTCTAACATATTGGTTCTTTTTATGGCTCAGGTGGTTTAACTGGTACTTCTGGTTATTTTGGTACTTCTGGTTAACCAGGTGGTTTATATTCTGGATCATAAGCTTTTTCACAAGCAAAGAATTAAACATTAGCTATGTAACCATTGTAAGCTGGATAGAATTAATCCTTTCCTAAGAAAATCTTATACAATGGAGCTAAATAATGATTAACTTCATCAATATATTTAACTTATCTGTCTCCTTTTGTGAATAAGATGCTCAATACTTTCTTTTACTCTCTTGAATAAGCCATGTAAATATAATGCCATTCTGTATGTTTATTTTAATGTTCGGTATTAATGTACTTATTTGGATTACCCTTTCCAAAATTATCATCATATGTGTATGTAGCAAAATGATATGATCCTGTTTTACTCAAAAAGGTTGTAAGATCTCTATCACCTAATAATTAATCATTCTTATTATGTTTTTATCCATTTATTGTAACTCTGAAAGCTAAATGCCAATCTTCTTATTAAGTTGGTGTCCACAAGAACCAACCTCCAATAGCATAATTATCTGGGAATTGATTTTCATTATCAGCTACAAACATTGTGACTTCACTTCCTTTATTAAATTCTTTTGTCGATTCAATCAAATTGCTGACTCCTCTTCCTTTCTTACAATCAGGTTCTGGTAATGGGTTGCAAGATAATGCATACTTTTAAACATCTTCTGGTGAACCTATGAATGAACCTGGACCAATCTTCAATACTGGTCTGGTGAATTAACCATTAAATCCAGGATATAATTTTAGATCGTTACCTCCCAAAATGAATCTTAATTTCTTTGGAGCTTCATGAGTTATTCCTCCGAATTCTATTTATTATGTCTACTTATTAGCATGGACAAATGCCACTGCCTTCTTTTTCAATGGACTAAAACTGAAATGAATGTATGTCCAAACACCTTCTATATCTTTGTATGGTTATTGCTTATACAAATTTGGATTAGATGTTCCTTTATCATTTGTTATGAATGTATATCCATCTTTACTCAAAAATACTGCTAATAATCTATCTCCCATCTTTATATTGTCATATGGATCATTTGATGTCAATCTTGAAACAAAGTACCATGGTTCACTCATACCCTCAAATAATTATTATGGATGTCTAGTCAACCATCTACTCCAAAATCCATAACCATATTCTATAACATCTTTCAATGCTTCATCTGGAACTTATATATCTGCTACTGGTTTTGCATCTACTGCAGATGATGAATCTCCTATAGCTTTTTGACCTTCAATACATTTCTGCATAACCTCTGGTGTCTTTATAATTGGAGGAGGTGGTGATACTACAACTTCTGGTGAAGGAGGCTTAACAGGTGGTTTTGGAGGTGGTTTTATTGTTGGAGTCTTAGGGGGTGGTTCAACACTCTTTGAAGGAGGTGGGGTTGGACCTAATGGTGATGGACTTGGAACTGGAGTTGCAGTTCTTGGGAATTTTGGATCATAAGCACCATTACATAAATCAATTCGGAATTTTCCTATTATACCATTCCAAGAAGGATAATGATCATCTTTTGCCAAATTTATTGAAAATCTTTACACTAAGAAATGGTTAACATTCTCAAATGTTCTCTCCTCTCTAGCCTCCTTAAAGTGAACTATTGAATGAGCAGTCTTTTATTTGAATGAATATCCGAAATATACAAATGTCCATTCTTATATTCTATTCTTATGTTAAATTTAATTCATAACATTTGGATTTCCTTCTCCAAATAAGTTATTATATGAATAAGTAGCCAACAAAACAATTCCATCATTTGCAGTACCAATCCAAGCTGCTAAATCTCTATCTCCTAGATTCTTAGCATTATTATTTTCTTTTGTGGCAAATACTCTGAACATTAAATGCCATGGTTCTTATTTCTCTAATTACTTCCATTTGAACCAACCACTAACTGAATATTCTTCAGGGAATGGAGATTCGAGGGTAGTTTTGACTGTTTGTACTTTAGCAGTGTTAACATTGTACCTAACAGCTTTATGAATGAGTGTTTATTTAGCTCTGTCAGTACAGTCCAATTTAGGATATGGATTACATTTAAGACTGTAATCGAATAATTCTAATTCTGAATTTACATAAGCTCCTTCACCGATCTTAAAGACTGGATTAGTAAATTATCCATTAAATCCAGGATAACTAAATTATTTACCTCCGACTACTAATCTTAAATAGGTAGGAATATCATGTGTAACATCAAGAGTGATTTATTATACTTTTCCACTTGCACCAAACTTCAATAAAGCAACGGATTTCTTTAATCTTCCACTATATGAGAAGTAAACATAACTCCATAAACCTTCAATATCTCCAGTAGGTATGTTTTAATTAACATTAGGATTACGAGAAGCTTTATCTAATGAAGTGAAATGATAACCAGTATCATAATGCCAAATAGCTAATACTCTATCTCCCATTTCAGCATCATTGAATTTTTGATTGGTAGTTAATCTTGAGACAAAGTAATAAGTATTTTTGGTTCTTCCTGAGATTAATTCATCAGGATATCTACTTAACCATCTTAACCAGAAACCATAACCATAATCGGTAGCTCCAGCAAGATCTTTACCTTCAATGACTGAATCAGCAACAGCTTAATCTGAACTAGCACTCATATCACCAACAACATTAGCACCTTTGACACAATCAATAACAACTTAAGGTGTTGGACTTGGAGATTTTGGTTTAGGAGGTGGTTAAGGAGTTGGTTCTTTTGGTTTAGGAGTTGGCTCTTTTGGTTTAGGAGTTGGTTCTTTTGGTTTAGGTGATGGCTCCTTTGGTGGTTTAGGTGATGGTTCCTTAGGTGGTTTAGGGGATGGCTCTTTTGGTGGCTCAGGTGAGGGTTCCTTAGGTGGTTTGGGTGTTGGTTCTTTTGGCTTAGGAGGGATGATAATAGGTTTAATGGGTTCTTCAGGTTCAGGTATGATAGGTTTAGGATCAACAGGGATTACTGGTGGTGTTGGAGTATTGTCACATTGTCCTCTAATAATTTAAATCTTTCTGATCTCTCCCTCAATATTGATAGTTATTGGTTTCTAGCATTCTTCTTCCAATTCAAGTAAATCTAAAAGTAAAACTTCTATCATTTTAAACAACATCTCGCAACAAGCTTTTCTAGTTTAAGTATCGGTAGCTGCCAATACTAAATTAATTTATGATTTCATTCCATCTATGTGAGGGCGAGCGAATGTGTTTGGCATTTCTATAAGTGCCAAGGAATCGAACTTATGTTTTAACATATAAAGGTATTGTAAGTTATGAACTTAAACAAATGAAACCTGCACTTGTTCTTCCATTCCTTTCTTTGCCAACATTTGTAATTCCCTCAATTCCTTGATATCTTAATCCAATCTTCCTGTCTAAGCAAAAGTAAGAGCCTCACCAAGTTTTTTGAGGCCTTCTTCTGCATCATACAGTCTCGATTTATCACAACCGTATGATTCTACGTCAATCTAAGCTAATGATTGCACATTAATCAAAGAGGCACTTGCAACTATATATAACAATCAATTATTACAGCTCATAAGCCCTACAAGCACCAGCAAGACAGCAACTTTGTTTCTCATAATTTTTTAATTATAAAATAAAAACGGATTTTAATATCAGATCCCCTTATCTGCCATTGATTAGATAGGGTAATTAAGTACTGATTTTGATATTAATACTTCAGAACTCTATTCTTTAATACATCAAAAACTCATTCGACCCTTCAACCTTTCATTATTAATTAATGTAAAATTTGCATCTTCCTACCTCACAACTCTAAGATTAAATTTTATGCACTCTCTAGAAATAAGTGAATTACTGATCTCGAAAGAAGAGTACTAGAAAAAGTATTCACTTTTTCATATTACACAGCTTGTCCTTTTAGATGATAAATATATTTTAAACTCATAGATCAATACAATCAAAAAAGAATTACTGAGGCTTAGTTATAAGATTTACTTATTCTACTCTCCAGATATTTTGATATGAAATGTAAACTATTCACAAACCCATAGCTGATACTTATGAAGAATGTTAACAAGTTCCTTTTACTAATTCAAACATGGAGAAGCTAAAAAAAGTTATTCATTCTATTGAATAAAATACACAAATTCCAGAAGTAATAGCTTCTCATTATGTGCCTAATTCTGGAGAGAAAGAAAATCTGAAGGATAAAGTAGAAAAGAATAGTGACAGTTTAAAATAATGAAATTATATTATATTATTTCTGTATTCTCACTAATTGTAAATAAACTCTCTACATACTTTATTATTATTCCAAATATTTTCTTTTAATAACATTATCTTGACTTTTACTTTACAAAATTTTCCATTTCTATTTTTAAAATATATTTTTTCATTTAAAATACAAATTATATGATATTCTGCCCCTCTATTGTTAATAAAATCTTAAATTAATCCACACCATCAAGAATATTTAGAAATATCTATTTTCCTTTTTTGATTTACAAATTTTGAATAAAATAATTTAGAAGTGATTCTATTATATTAATTTTTTGTTAGATTATTTTAAAAAAAAAAATTTATTTCACTTTTATTTTCTGTTGTGAACTTTCTACTAAAATGGTTGTAAAAAAATTTAAATAACTAGAAAAAATTATTAGCAACTTTACAATCATTTATTAAAAAATAGGGAAAATTGGATATGTTTAAATATTAAATGTGATATAAATTGATTACTTTTCATCTTTATTCTGTTAAAATTAAAGGAAAGACATATTTAATCATTATATAAACTCAAGAATATACTCATAAAGAATATTTGAAGAATTCTGGATCTTTTGATTAATCAATACTCATAGAACCTGTTTTATGTTATCTGTTAATTTATTTGATTAATATTTAAATTTTTAGAAGCAGTATTAAAAATTGTAATTTAATAATTTGACTATACAGCAATAAGTAAACTCAATCTCCAAGCTTACAGATAATAGGCTAATTGATATATATGTTTGATTTAATATCCGAATACTATGATTTAAGTGAAAAATGTAATTTAGTTGATAATTTTTCTGTCAATTTATAGAATTCAAATTGATAAGAATTGTCAAACTCTCTAAATTTAGAATGATTTTTTTTTATAAGTAAATACACAAATATGAATAGAATGATAAAAGAATTTTAAGAGGTTAGATACCAATAAAAGTGATTTACAATTTTCTTTATCCGATTGTGTTAGAATATTTTTTTCATATATATTTTATAAAAATGAATTCTTTTTAGATTAATTCTAAATTTTTTAATTTGTATTATTATTAAATCTCTCTAAAAAAATATCTACATTAAATATAAAATTAATTTAATATTAGGGTTGCTAATGAACAAACATTTTTCTAATGAAATATTTGTTTATAATTTTCATCTAAATTTATGAAAAATAAATTTATGTTATTATAAATTTGAGCATCCAAATATGAAACACATAAATTTAAAAAGATATAAAATTTAGCTGAATCATATAATTCTATGATATTTTATTAGAGTTTATGTAAAAATACATTTAAAGATTAGAATTGATGAATGGATCAAGATTAATAAAATATAAATTAAAATTAGCATTAATTAAAAATTAGAGAGTTAAAGAAAATTTTACAAAATTAAAAAATGGTTATGTTAAAAATTATCTTTATAAGAAATTTATTGTTTTAGAGCTCTTTTTTATTTTACATCATGAGCAGCTAATTTTATTATATATTAATAAATATTATTTATTCCAACTTTTTTTATATTAAATTAATATTTAGAGAGAATTTAAAATCTTAAGTACTGAGCATGTTTTGATTATAATTCAATAAAAATAAATTGATAATTGTTTCTAAAAGTAAATAATGCGTTCCAATAATTTATCTAAGTTGATATATATATTCAAAGAACTATTTTTGATAAATAGTTAAATGTTTACAAAATTTAAAGATAATCTAAGAAAGATAGATATTTTCGGATAATCAATAACACTGAGCTTTCGTTAAGAAGAAGAATATAGAACTAGTTTAGGAGGGATACTTTCTTTATGCATAATTGCTACAATTATCAGTTTTTTTTACTCAAATATTATTGACTTTTTTTAAAAAAACTCAGTATCATCTGAATAGGAACAAGAATTTAGTGAAGATCCGAGCACAGTATAACTTTTACCAAATAATTTTATGTTTGCTGTTCAAATTGATTAAGCGAATTTTACAACTAACCCTTATTTTAATATAACAGTAGAATAAAGAGCATACACAAGAGATGAGAATGGAACATAAGTTAAGCTACCTCCAGTATATGTTGATTTAGTGCCTTGTACAATTGAACATTTTAAGCCAATATTTGATTAATACAATTCATCTTTTGAAGCTTCGTTTAACCAATACAGCTTATATAATTTTTTGTGTCCTAATTTAGAACATCCATTAACATCAAATATGACAGTTGGAGGAGCATGGACAAGTAGGAAAATGATTATATTAATTTTTAGGTAGGGAATTTTCCTTTTTAAAATTTGTGGTTTCTACATGTAAAAGTAATTCAGGAAATAACTTTTCGTGGAAACCATAATGCAAGACTGAAGAGGAAATGTTGAAATAATTGAAGTCTTCTGGAAGCTTCCGATTTTAGATATACACAACTAATTACGTAATTTATAAATGTATAAATATAGTTAATCAATCCTGGATCCCCTAAGCATTTTATTCAACCTTATATAGCAATTGAATAATTCTATTCCTTTGTTCCAAATGCTATGTTTGTTCAATCAGACATTTTTATACGACCTAGAACAATTACAACAGATGACGGAATATTAATGTATCCTTAGTAATCAACTCAAACATACATAACAAGAGATTACATGGATAATAGAGAATAATCTGCTATATCTGGTTTAACTCCTGGATATTATGGAGCATTTTATTTTGTTAGAAGTCCTTACTCTTATGCAATATCAAGAAAATTTATGAGACTTGATGAATTATTAAGTTATTTAGGAGGATTCTCATAATTTATGATAGCAGTTATAGGAGTTATAATTAAGTTTTATAATCGTGAACATATGATAATAGAGATGGCAAATGATTTATATGAATTCGATTTAAATAAAAGAAGAAATAACACTATTGAAGCAAATCATGGTTTATTATCATCGACACAAAAGGGAAGGGAAGCCTTAAAAAGATCAATGCACAAAATCAAAGGAGATTCTAGTCTGCATATAAAGAGCATGAGTACTTTTAATTAGAAACCTATGATGGGTTAATTTTTATCACCTAAGAGTATTGAAAAGTAGGAAAGCCTTAAATTAAAAGAAGCTATTAATTCACATAGGTCAAGTAAGCTTAAAAGAGTTAGTTAATTGAAGGTTTAATGTTCTGCTATTTTTGAATAATTCAAATAAATAATGATATCTAATTAACATATTGGGATTAGTATAAAGTTGATATTAAGTCAAATTATGCCATTTTAATGTATATAATCAGATGAATGTGTAGTATTAAAAAAGGCAATGTAGATATTATTGATAAATAATTAGAGCTTAAGTAAATAAAGAGTTAGATATACAATATATAATTAGATAATTGCATGAGATGATAAAATTAAAGAGAGTTCTTTTCAACTCTGATTAAATAACATTATTCAATTTTACTCATCGACCAACAATTAGTTTGATTAGAGATAAAAGAAATAGAAAATCAACAGTGTAAATTCTATTAGTATTTTAGACTCAAACAAATTTTGGATAATCCAACTCAAGAAATAGTGCTATCCCAATTATTTACAGATCTTGTTAATTCATATTAAAAGTTAATGGGATTAGATGATCAAAATATGACAGATGAATAAATTCGATTTAATTAAAGATTGATATCACTTTTGGGCTAAAAGTTACCTCATTTATTAGAGAAAGAATTAGCATAAGCTTCAGATGATGATTCAAATGATGAAGATCCAAAACCTGAAGATATAATTAGTCGATCAAGTTGATTTGTATATTTATTGTTTATGAATTGATTAATATAAGTAAATAGAAAGACGATTATTAATTCTACTTTTAATCTTTGTAATTGAAAGAGTTGTAGAAATTGAGCTTGGATATAAATAAAAAAATAATAATATTTGATCTGAAATTAGAATTTGAACATTGATTGTATCATCCTATTTAATTTTATCTTTCTGCACTTAAACTGTCTCTAAAGTTTTAGCCTTTAAGAAAATCTGGACAACTCTCTTTGTTTGGATTAGTTAAAATCTAAGATATTATAAATAATTATGATATACTCTCATCTTTTACTTTTCTAATTTAGGACAATTAGCCATTCTATGACCCATACCATCACAATAACCACAAGAACCATTTAAATCTTCATCTGACTTTAGTTTTTCTAGAAATTAAGGTATTTCTAAAATTATAATGAGAATAAATATACTTTATTTCGATTCTACAAGTAGATATTTTAAATCTAATAGAATCGATTCTTCTTATTACCTATTAACAAAAGTTGTTGCTCTTCCAGTTTTCCCTTACCTTCCTGTTCTACCAATTCTATGTATATAAGATTCAATCTAATTTGAATATTGTATTTTACATCTTTTGGCATATCATAATTAATAACATGCTTAATATCTGGAAAATCCAAACCTTTTGCAGCTACATCTGTTGCTACTAAGACATCTTTTTAACCATTTAAGAATTGCTTTAATGCTTTAGTTCTATCTTCCTATTATTTGCCTCCATGTAATCCAACAACCTCTACTCCTTTTATTAAAAGATATTCATTAATATCATCAACATCATTTTAATGTTCACTAAAAATAACAACTGGTGGTGTTGTTTTCTTTAAACAATCTAATAAATAGTGTAATTTTTCTTCTTGCTTAACATATAATATTTCCTATATCACATTCAAATTAATTTAACCACTTCTGCCAACATTAATTACTAATGGATCTACTAATGTTTATTTAGTAAATTCTTATATTTTCTTTGGAAGAGTAGCACTGAATAACATTGTTTATCTGGGACCCTAAACTAAGGTATCAATTGATTAATCATACTGTGAAATGTTCTAAAATATTTCTAATTTCCAATTCAAAGACTTAATCTAACATTCTATCAGCTTCATCGAGGACTATAAATCTACATAGATCCATATTAATTTTTTTTTTATTAACCATATCACTAATTCTTCCAGGTGTACCAATAACAATATGTACTCCATTTTTAATGGATTATAATTAGGATGACATATCCATACCTCCAATTGCAAGTAGACAATGAATAGCAGGGAATCCCTATAAAGAATGTATATTTATAAATATATTACTTTTTTTTGGAATTTTTAACAATATTATTTGGCTAATTCATAAGTCAAGATTGCTAATTCATGAGATGGAAGTAATATTAAAGCAAATGGTCCTTCACCTCTAATTATTGACATTTTCATCTCTTCATCAATGCATTACAATAATGCGGGTAACAAAAATACTAAAGTCTTACCTTAACCACTTGGTGCTACTCCAATTATGTCTCTTCCCATTAAACTTAATTATAAATTTGATATTATTACACAGCAGGTAAACCTTACATTTGAATAGGTGTTGGTTTCTTAATTTTCATTTTACTAAGAATCTTTAAAATTCTGTCATCTACTCTTAAATCTTAAAATGATTTAATAGGAGGAGGAGGATCATTACCTTCTATCATAATGGAATATTTTTTCAAAATTTTATCAATTTTATATTAATCCCACAACCTTTATTTCTTCTTGGGTCTCCATCTAAAAATAGATAAATGAATTTACTTAGTTTTCACAATTTCTTTACTTTTTAAGAGCATAAGAGTACTCCATGTTGAATTTTTCATAGCATTTTCAATTTGCATCTATTCATAAGCTTAAATCTTTTAAATATCTTCATCATTAATTTTTCTCATATTTGCATTATCAATTCCTTATTGTTTCATTTACATTTTCTCTTAGACAAGAGATCTTTTCTAATCATCATATTATTGATGCATTTATTATAAATTAATTTATATTTAATAATCAGGCTTCTTCTTCTTCTTCTTCTTAATTTACTTTAGGTTAATTAGCTTTACCTTCAGCAGCTGCTTTTTCTGCTGCTTCTTATTCAGCTGCAGCTTGTTCAGCTGCTAATTCTGCAGCCTTAGCAGCTTCTTCTGCTAATCTAGCTTCTTCTGCTAATCTTGCTTCTTCAGCTATTCTTGCTGCTTCTTCCTCTTCTTCTTTCTTCTTTTATATTGCTGCAGCTATTCTCTCTTTTAATTCTCCTAATGCATCTGCTTTTTCTTCTGGAGGTACTGGCTCTTTATTTACTCTTTCTATTTATTATAATATCATTATTATCTCTTTTCTTATTCCATCACCCATCTCTGTTGCTATTGGATTCTCATGCATAGTTATTGATCTCAGATTATCTAATTATTTAAGATTATTAAATTCATCTAATTTCTCTATCAAATTTCCTCTTAAATTTAAATGATGTAATTTCTGTAAATTTGGAATATCTGTTAATACTACTATTTTATTTGCTCTCAAATGTAATGTATGTAATTCAGGTAATTCAGTTAAATGTCCTATTGAAATTATTTAATTCTATGCAGCCCATATTTATTTTAATTTCAACAACTTCTAAAATCTAAAAAATTATTTCTATTTATCAATTACCCTTCAAATGTTTCTAATTTATTATTTCTCAATTCTAAAATCTCTAATGTATTATGTCCCATAAAACCTTGTGCACTTTTTATTAAATTATTTTTTAATGATAATTTCTTTAATCTTGGAAGATTGATTTATCCAAAATTAGTGATTTTATTATTGTCTAAATTCAATTCATCCAAGAATTCAAATGTATTAGGTACATTAAAACAATCCAAATTTGTAATTTAATTAAATGCCAAATTCAAATTAGTTAAATATCTGATTGATTACAAAGTATTAACATCATTTAAGAGATTATTAGCAAAACTAATCTTTCTCAAATGCACATAAGTCTACATCACATTAAACAATTTATCTATTTTCTAAGATGCTTTCGTCAATTAATACCTTATTTTCACATATTAATTCAACGAATGAATAGCCACTCAAATTGGCAGTTTTACCAATTCTCTTTAATCCTTCTTTGATTTCATTATGTAACTTTTCAATTTATAATTATTCTGGTGCATAATATTCATCTTATGGTACATCTGGCTCATCAGGTTCAACTACTTCTATTTATTCAACATCTTATTTCTCTTCTCCTTCATCTTATTAACTCATTTTATTATTTATAATTAATATTATTATTATTATCATTCAAATATTAATTATTTGATATTGAGAATCACAATTCAAAATCCAATCTAAATTTCTTTGCTCATAATGTTTTTCATCTAATTCTCAAAATCATCCTCATAATCTTACACATACTATATCAATTCTCTTACGAAATGTTAATACTTTAATTCTCTCACACATCTCCCTACTGCTATATTCTTAGCATAGAATTCCAATATCAAATAAAAGTATATTTAATGTATATCAATTATCTTTACTATTGCACTTATAATCTCTATCTTTTAACCCTAACATTTTTAATATTAAATTACCATCACTATCGAAGAATACAACATCAATCTTCTATTATCATCCACATATAAATTTGTTTAACCTTATTCCTTCTAAAGAACATTTATTAAAAACATTATATCATCTGCTGTCTCTATTGTAAACATTATTTCCGGAATCACAGTCTTTACTATATAACAATTCTTTTGCTCCAATAATTCCAATTTATATCTTAATAACAATTATTTACCATCCGTTCCTAATTTCATTGAACTTATAGCATCATTACCATTCTTATTAAAATTTTATGGAATATATTAGGCAATCATATTCAAAGAATTAATATCTGAATGCCAAATAAAATCAAATAAACCATTATTTTAATCACTCTCTATTTTTTATTTGTCATTTTATTTTCCTTATTATTATTGTTATTATGCCATATCTATCATCTTATTCTTATTATTTATAGGCTAATAATTTGGTCTAAATGCTCCAGCTATACTAGTTATCTATTTTTTATAATCAACTCTTGTATCCAAAAACTATTTCATTTTTAAACCAAAACTTGTCAATACATCATGACTTTCAGATTATATATCATATAATGATCTCAAAAATCCTCGTAAATTATCAGACTAAACTGTATTTAATGATTATTTTGTTCGAGATTCCTAATAATCCTTTTCTTTTCTCTCTAAAAACAATTATCTAAGTTTCTAATTTGAATCTAATTAATAAAGAATCATGCTTTATTTAAAACTATATCTCCATTATTTCTTTTTTACTTAATCTTCTCCATAAAGACTATCTACACCTGTATATTTTTCATTCAAATTTAATATTTCATTTATTTGATTCACTTTTAAACGATAATCATGCAATTTTTATTTATAGAATTACTTATCATCATCTTAATCTTTCAAAAATTAAAAAAATGTATCCAAATACTCACAAAAAAATATATGTGTCTTATATTATTTTATTATATATACCCCATTTTAATAAGGACCTAATCTAAAATTTAATAATTTTTCTAATGAAAAATCGAATTTACCAAGGAAAAGATATTAAGTTATCAATTCAAATGTAGGAATAAACAAGAAAAAATCATACTCTCTATCATAAATTAAATTCTCCTTAAATGGATCGATAAATTAACTAAATTATTAAAAACGAGAATACCCAAAATTTGCAGACCAATGAAAAGTTTCTATTAGAACTTATAATACTTACTTTGCCATTAAGACATCCTATTATTCTAGTATAAATTTATTTGTAAATCCTTCCTGTTATACCTCTGAATCCTTTATTACAAATTTTAATTATTCTCCATTAAGACCATCATAATAATATTCTATTATTAAACAATTCTCTGAATTCTTGGCATTAACATTGAATACTTTTGCTAGTTTGAAATTATTGCAATAAGGTATCCTATTATATTTTTATCTAACTACTTCAAAGATAATTTATCTTAAATTTTTTAGTACTACTAAAACAAATGTGTTAGAACCTATTTTTTTAAAGAATTATTCCCGAACTCAATTTTCAATTAATTATTTTACATTTTTTTACTAATTAATATAAAAATTATATTTTTTATATAAACAAAAAATATGGAACCAATTAAAAATGAAGAAATAAATTAATTTTTAAATTAGAAAACAAACTTTAATCTTTTCATTCTTGATCTAAATAAATTAGAGTAATTTATTTTAAAGAATTGTCAAATGTCAAATAGAATAAAAAAAAAAAATTCTATTTAATTATAAACTAATTTTTTCGAATCATGGCTAAATATGTTCTAAATTAATTGAAATCTCTCATCAATAGAAAAGTATTGTAGCATTAAAAGAATTTGGAAAGAATATTATCAATTTAAAAACAGAATTTATTAATTGGGATGAATTGAGCACTTTATTTTATAAAGCTGCTTTTTGATAAAAGACATAAAACTATTAGAATATTAGAAGAAGTTTTACAAAATGTAGAGAAATTAAATTGATTAAATGGAATTCTTTATAGCAAATTAACTACTTCTCAGTCTTAAATTCCTGTGTTTAGTTAGTTTTGCCAAAAAATATTCAATTTATATTAATTGTAGCAAAACCAAAGAAAAAATTTTAAATTACAATATAAATAATAATTGGAAAAATAATAAATGAGAAAAGAAATATTATTTGAAGATTTGGTTAAAATTGTCGATTATAAATTCATTAAATGATGAAATTGTTCTTACTTTGTTCAAACAATTAATTAAAGAATAATTGAAAAAAAGACTATACAGAAAAAGATTGTTCCAACCCAATTTGTTAATATACATTTTAAAAAAATCTAAATAATAAGTTGTAAAATACATTACAAGATTTTATATTTAACATAATCGATAAAAAGTTTTGATGATATTTTTTGTTGTTAAAATAATTCATAAAAATTATTATCTTTGCTAATTATTATTTTATATATTATTTAATCTTAAATAAATCAAATAATTTTAAGAATTTCTTAAATTTCATAATTATCAAAGGATGCTATTTAGAATCATGCTTGATTTGAAATTCGAATCTTTGTATTATAAATATAGATAGCTTTATATTAAAAAAAATCATAAAATAAATTTAAGATTGATATATTAATATTATTTGTGAGTATTCTTTAATTAAAGTAGTAAGAAATATTTTTGATTGTTTTAAGTCTAAAAAAGAATTGTCAATTTTTCCTGAAATATATTAAAGGAAATATATATTATTTTGTTAATTAAATCATTGATATTACATATTATTCAATCTTATAAAACTGGTTCTAATATTTTAGAAGGATAAACATTATTTAAATATTTAATGAATTGTTTAGAAATAAACACTTAGAAAGATTGGTTTGAACATGTTGTTAACAATTAAAAGCCAGTTGTGGTTAGTTTTTTTGCAGAATGGTAGATTGTTTAACTAATAAAATTTAGGTGTGCCCCTTGCCGTAAACTTAATCCATAATTAATTTCAGAGGTTGAGAAGAATTCTTAAAAATGGTAACTTGCTTTAGTCAATGTGAACAACGATGAGCTTTATGACGTAGTGCAATAATTTGCGGTATAAGTTATATTTGATTATAATTAGAAAGCTTAAGTTCCCTCAGTTTGTTTATTTAACATGGGAACTTAAATTGATTTAATGACAGGTTATAGTGAACGCAAGATAAAATTTTTTTTAGAAAAGATAAGGGGCTGATTTTTACTATTATATTTAAATCTTAAATATTAATATTTATCAAAAGTAGCACAGGTTAAGTTACTTCTTTCATTATTTTGCATTTATAAATTAATGAGATTAGATTGATAGAAAGGGCAACCTAAAGCAATGTATCAAGATATTTAAGATAATAATTTAAATATCTTGTTGATGAAGAAGAAAATATAAATCAATTCAATTGGATCCTAATCATTTTTATTTTTTCCAAAGTTCTTAATACATTTTAAATTGTGAAATTCTTTTTGTTTGGGAATATGTAAGTTATTTCTAATTTATGAGTTTAAATTGTGAATAAGTAAGTTTTTGATAAATTATGACTTTAAAATTAATTAAAGAGATAATTTCAATTTTTTATTGACTAATGGCACTAAATATGAGTAATTCAATACATTTGAGTTTTTTATCAGAAAAATAATCGATATTTGTTTTAATTAATTACTCATAATAAAAATTAATTAGTTGCTTGCTCTTAAAATATTAAAAATTAGAAATAATGAATATCCAATATTTTTTTAAAATATGAAAAAATCATATCATTAAAAATATATTCGATTTATATCGATATTAGATTATTTAGCTTTAAATCATGATTGATCATCAAATTCTTAATGAGATTAATAAATTTTAATGGCTCTAGAAATTAACTTTCACTTAATTATTAAAAATAGCATAATAATTATAATGTTTTAATAGTAAACAATTAATTATTATAAATATATTTGATATAATTGTGATTATTATCTTTTTATATTTAAAATGAATCCTTTTACATTAACTTTTATTGATAAAAATTTGGAGAAAAAGTACAAAGAGAATTATTCAATTGAATTAATTGAAGCTTTCAGATATACAATCTCTTTGTTACCAATATCAAACATTATCTTGAGTATTTATTGGATCTAAAGGAACGAAATACTCATAGGTGTTTTATTAGTAACAATAAGTCTAACATAGACAATAATATTTTACTATGTAAAAATGAAATAATAGTTTATATCCTTATTTGGATATTTGATTTCAACTCTAAGTTTATTAGCTTCATTTTATCATTTCATTCCTTTGTATTACCCTGACTTTTATGATCATTAATATAATTGGATTTTCGATATTTCTTAATTTCTTGCTTTGAATTTCACTCTAGCTCCAAATTTTTTATTTAATTAAGTCTTATAGCTGATATTTTTATTTTCACGATTACTTATGCGGAATTACAATGACTTTCACATTGAGACATTAATAATAACTCTATACTTAATACTATTTTGGTAAAAGGAATATTATAGATAAAAGCATAACAGATAATTATTTTTATTAAATGAGCAGTAAAAATCCTCTTTTTCTATTTGGGATGATTTAGTAGATGATAAAATTGTATTATTAACATATAATCATTACTGGGAGAAAATAGAACTCTAATATGCAAATAAATCCATGAATGAATACATAAAAATTGAAAATAAAGATTTTCTATTAGATTTGAAAGTGATAAATTAAAAAATAACATTGAATTAATATCTTTTGGAGAGGGTTAGAGAGTAACCAAATGAATTCTAGATAATGGTTTTAAACACAATAAATAGGGATAAATTAATAGTGAATTGTGTTATAAAGAAATTTGTAGAAATAAAAATAACATTAAAATTTTCTGAGTGCTAATCTTGTGTTAGCTATTAGTAGAATAATAATAATAGTTACTTTAGAGTATTGTAAAGAATAAAGAAAACCGATAAAGCATAATATTACAAAGAGAATCTAAGAAATTTACTTTACAATTCGTATTATGTTAAAGAAAAGTTATTAGAATAGATAGAAGAATTGAAGTATTACAAATTGAGATTATTTTTGGATAAAATTTTAAATAAGGATAAGATTCGTATTAATTTTGAAATAAAATAATTTTTTACAGTTCTTCCATTATTTTTCACATTAATTACTTGTTTATAAAAAGTTTACAAGATAACAGATATTTCTTTGATAGAATTGAATGAATATAATATATAATTAATCCTATAGGGGAATGATATCGATGTTCCTAAACATAGATTTGAGGTTTGTAAGAAGATTGTTAATAATATACTTTTGTAGATTGGATATAATAATAATTGCACATATCAAAAGAATTATTGTAGATTGATTTTAGTAAATTAATCAGATTTAATGGAATGGAGTCCAAAAAGTAATCAATTAGTAACATTTAGTAATTTAATATGAAATGATATATTATATTATATTGATTTTAAAATTATGACTATTTTTCATAATCCTTTAGCCCATCCCAAACTTTGCATGGCTTCAATTCTTAAATTTTCATTTTACTAGGTAGTAAAATTACTTTAGGAGTGAATATGTTCATAAACTTGGGCTGCTTTCAATACTGTATTAGCAATAACCTAATATGCAGAAGAATAGCCAGTTAATTAAACACTATTAAATTTATTTGCCTATAAAAATAGAGTAAATAATATACTATTTCTGATGGAACAGAAGATTCGCTTTTGGCTAATGTTTTTAAAAGGACAGGAGCATATTATTTAGCATAGAAATATCTAAGTTTTGGATCTTGACAATGTTCTAATAAAGAGTAAGCAATTTTATTAGGAACAGTGGACATAACTAATTCTCTAATAAAATAATAAATAATTAAAATTACGGATAAAGTATTCCATTGTATGCAATATTGAGATCATTATCAATTCCATTATAAAGGGAAGTATAATACATTTAAATTGTTGGTTTAGGATCAAGAATAATCTATATGTTCAGAATATATAATTACAGTTGGTAATTAGAATGCAGCACATTCAGTAACTATTTATCCATTACAAGCTAAAGCAATATCACAAGCAGCTATTGCTGAGAATTTCTCAGATTCAGTTTATACTTAAATGACTTTAGCAGGCCATTTAATTGAATTAATAGTTTTTATTGTACGATCTGAATGTTCAACAAACTCTGGAACTGATACTATTATTTTAATTTAATCAGTTGGATAGTTTTTCATTTCATCAAGTTTTAGGAATCTTGAAATACCTTCAGCAACAGTCTTAAGACAGAATGGAATTTCTTTAGATGTATTACCACCAGCAACAAAAATTAATAATTCCTAATCTCCTATATTTTATAATTATCTATATTTCTTTCTTTATTCATTGACTCTGTCAGCAACAAAATCATCAAATCTAAAGAATTCACCTCCAGGAAGATATATAGTATCATTTTATACTAAATCTTGATATTAAGGACTATTTTAAAGAAGATGTCTAAATGCTCTATAAAGTCCATCTGGCCCTACTTATGTATGAGGGAAAGTGAATTTCTCCCAATTACTCTTTTATTCAATAATTATTATTTTATACTTGTTTTAATGGAGTTCTTGTAAACCAATGATCTACATACTTTTAACCATATTAAGGTTGATCTTTATGAGTTAAACCATATTAGAATGTTGGAGGACATATTCGGTTGAAGTGACGATACGACTCTCTTAATTTCTTATAGAAATGTATCATGAAGAATTCATTCTCGAAATTCAAGAATGCTGATGGTTGATAATGTTAAACGATTTCGAAGTATTACTTATCAAGTTTATTCAAAACTTTTTTATTGATCCATCTCTTGTACATATGGACTGGATGCATTGCATTCTCAGTACTAAACTTAGCAATAGTGTGTACGCCAATCTATAGAAATTTCTGAATGGGAAGAAAGGTTTATATTGGAATTCATGATAATCTACTCCAATAGTTTCTAATCCTTCATGACCCATTTAAGGACCTCCAATACCAACAAAACGGAATTCAGTGTCTGGTTAGGCTACTTTGATTGTTGACATTACACGTGCCAAGTGCACATCCGTTGAAGGACAAGCAGCAGACAAAAAAATCGTAGCTTATTTCATTAAATTAATAAATCTAATAATAATCAAAAATTTCTGCAGACATCTTATCTACTTTAACTATCAAATTTTCTTTTATCTTCTCAGTATCTAATTATTTTAACTTCTTAAATACTAAAATAAATAAAAAATTGCATCCATAATATTTGTATTTACCAACCGAAAAATTATTAAATATCTCACTAGAACATATAAACTTATCGTTTTTTTCAATTAAAATATCAAGTAAAGCATCCAAAACAAGCAGAATTAGCAAAACCATCTCCTAAAATATTTAATGAAACTAATCCTATTCTCTAACCAATTCGAATTATAATATGTAAACCATTACAGTCAAATAATTTTACATAACTTTCGATCTATATTCCAAAGAGTACTATCAAATAAATTTCCAATCATACTAAATTATTATCATAATACTACAATACTTTCTTGCTATTCTTAACAATATAAAATTCTATTATTTTTTGAGCCAAACTATTATTGAAATCTTCTTTTATAATTTCATAGATCTCTCTTATGATATTAACATAATTCTCACTCATTTTAGATTATTTATTAAAACTTAATTTTTAAGAATTTATCATTATATTTAATCAAATGAAATTCATAGATCTCTCAAAGACTTGGTTTAATCCTTGAAATTTCTAATAATTGTTATTCCATGAAGATATAAGATTCTCCACATGAATATCACAGTTGTCGAAAATTGAATTTTTAGGCCTACTCTCAATCAGTTAAGCAATTTGTTCAGCTGAATGAGCAAGAATGATATCCTTAAATGTCACTCCTTGAACTTCAGGACTCATCAATTCCATAGTAACTAATCCATTCTTATTAAACCATTTTGGATAATCTAAATTATTTTTTTAATTATTACGTTTCATCTAATCTGCTATCTATGAAACTTAACCCATAAAACTAAATGAGTCTTGAAATTTCTAGAACTAGTACTTTCTACTTATGTTACTGATATTCTATCATTAATTTTTACTATATACCTAATTCCAATTCATATTTAGTTGTTATATGATCAAAAGTTAATTGACCTCTTCTTAACTTAATTTATCGAACTGTTTTGAAGTAATCTCAGAAAAGTCTCTTAGTAAAAACTTTAATCCTAATACATTTGCTATTGTTTAGTTGTTATTTGAGGCAAACTTTCTGTACATAGATTTTAATAATGATAAAACGATTTTTCATAATAGTATTTAAATAGGTTTTAAGTATGCAATTAATTTAATAATTTGTCATCTTAATATCCTTTATTTCAATTTGTATTTAAATCAGCAATAAACTAATTTCTTATTATTCTTAAATTCCTTTCTTAAGAGACAAATTAAAATTTTCATTTAAATTTTCAAAAGTCTATATTATTATCAATTTTAAAAGTAATAAATATTTATTGTTATTCAAGAATATTGGTTTTTATTTATGTTTTTAAACTTTAAAGTTAATAACTAAATATTATATATGCAATAAAGCGTTTATTGGGTTAAAGAAAATATTGTAAATTTATTGAAAAAATAATGAAACACATGTTTTCTGATTATATAATTTTATAATAATTTCCATTGTATCTTGATATTAATTATGAAAAATATGTAAAGAAATTATAATATATTGATATGAAATCAAAGTTAAGCTGTAGTTTTCTAAAAACTTTGGAGCATTTCCTCAGTTTTAGAGAAATTTGAGTTCCAATTATGTAGTATTTGCGAATCAATAACTTTTGGACAATCACAGACAGTTGTAATTTGAGTAGTTGAGACTTCATTTGCCAATTATTCCATTGTGTATGCCAAAAGAATGTCTTTAACAGAGACACCCGAACATTCTGGTGTTGTTATTTCTACATTAACTACATTTTATTTTTATGTCCATTTAGGATAATCTAATAATGATAGATTCTAATATCTTACGATGCATTTCATCGGCGATTGTAGAAATTGATCCCATGAATGCAAAAGTTTCTTTGAATGAATTGAATTTGAATTCTTTAGTAAGCTTTGTAGAATCACTAGATGCTTGCCATTGTAGAGAATGAATCTCAAGAGCAGAGTAGATTTGTTCAGAATTTAATTTTTATACTGAAACAGATGGAACATCTTTAAATTCTCTAATGAAGATTTTTAGAGAATTTATTATGGCTGGTGTTCTAAATCCAAGTTCAGAGATGTATCTATACATGTTGAAGTTGCTGAGATATTTTTATTATTACAATTGCCTTAAACTGAGTATCACTTTTCAAACCCTTATTAATACGAACCATTATTTTTCAAACGCAATATGATGATCAGTTATTTTTTTAATAATAATTATCAAAACTATATATATAGTCATATCTATTCAAACATCCATCTAACATTATCATTATCTAAACTTCATAAATAAACTTCAAAATATCTATATAATAAAATTTGATGTTTATTTTTAGAAACATTTTTAAAATTCAATAATGAATCAAATATTTTATATTAACAGAAACTATTCAATTAAATATTCCACTTAAGGTTTTATTCACTAGAATTATCAATTTAAATGATGTTCTAATAAATATAAAACTAAATGAAAAAATCAATATAAAAAAAATTGTAAATTATAAATAGAATCAATAAAATAAACTGAAAAAGTATTAAAAGGAATGTTTCTTTAAAGGGTTCATTAGATAAACAAATACAATGCCTTGATAAGTATAAAATTCTAGTATTTATAAATTGTTTGATGATAAGAATATCTTTAATATATAGGATTAATATAAGTAAAAAGAGATTAATTGTTAATTTTTAATAAGTTAGAAAATGGAATTTCTAAAAAAATAATAAATTTTATTTATAAAAGAAATTTAATATCATATTAGGATTAAAATTTGAAAGAGTGATAAAATGAAATATTGAAGATGATTATAAAAATAAGTAAATACTTAAAATATACATATATTGATTCAACAACATCCATCTTTTTATTTTTTAGTTTCTTCATTTTGTTAACCAATTTTCTATGCAGATGTTTATTAAGTTTTTTGAGGTCTAAAAAAAAGATTAATAAATTGTAATACCCTGTACCTTTTGAACCTTGAGAATCTTTTTTGGCAATCAATTTTCTAGATAAAGAAAGGAAGGCTTTAGAAACTTAATCAGCAGTCTTAGCACTTACTTCCATATGTGCCATTTTCCTTATACTTGCATAGTCTATGGCCTTTTATGTAGTTACTCTATTATAGAGGAGATGGGCAATTACAGTTTGTCCTCAATATCACTTTTGTTTCCCAATAATAATAATTCAACATTTTTTTCTGCATATTAATCTACTTCATTAATCCAAAATTTGTCTATATCTTCAAATGAAGCAAGTGAAGATACATCATAAACTAAAACAATACCATCAGCTCCCTTTATGTTAAAATTATTGAATACTTTATAATAAGCACTTGTAATAGTTCGAAATCTCTCTTAACCAGCAGTATCCCAGATTTGTAGTTTAACTTTTTTACCATCTATTTCAAGGGTTTTAAATCTAAAATCTACACCGATTGTAGTTAAATAGGAATCACTAAATGTATCATCTGAAAATCTTAAAAGTAAAGAAGATTTCCCAACTCCTGAATTACCAACAATCACTAACTTAAACAAATAATCATATTCCTTGATCATTTTGATATCTTTATTATTTTTATTTAAATAATACAACACAGAACTTATCAGATATATTATATATATATATATAAAATATTCATTCCGCATAATTTATACTAGAAATCAATTTAACATGAGCATCGCATAATTTTGGTGGATATAATTCCAAGAAATTAGATGGTTTATTTCGATAAATAACAAGAATGAGAAAATTACCATCTTATTTTTCAATTCTTGATCCTATCAATTGTTTATCTTATTTAATTCTAAAATATTTATTTATAATTTACGATAATAGTGTTGAAATTACTTTATTTTTTAAATTGTACATTAATAATTAGGAACCTTGAAATGAAATATGTAGAGAGTCATCTGAAATCAAATTCAATTAAATTGGTTTATTAAAACTAAGATCTACAATTTTTTCAATTTCAAAGGAATTAGTTTAAAGAAGCAAAGTATAAAAGTATCCCTTCTCAGTGATGAGATATATTTAATTGTTATGATAAAGCATTTTATAGATGATTCCATTGATTTAGCATTATTATTTCCAATAATCATCATCATATTAATTAATGGTTTATCCAAATAATTTGAGTTAAGACATACTTAATTATTTGAATTTATCAAGTTCATAATGAGCGTAATTACTAATCTGATTGGTATTAAATTTGAAAATAAGATTGGCAGAAGTAATTATGGCAAAGTCTTGATTAAAATATGCTTAGCCTATATTTATTTTGTATTTAATTTTAGTAAATTTAGTGAATTGAAGTTCATTAGACTATTCGAGTATGAGTAAAGTCCCATCTTCATGGACAGCTATGTACTGTTATTAATTTATTTTGCCTCATAAATTATGGATGATACCAATAAAGATAATGGCCATAGAAAATGCAAGATTGTATTGCTTCTCCCGCCATTCTTAGAGATTGAATTCAGCCTTATCATTTCTGATTCTAACAATTAATCCATTTCCATTTTCTAATCCTAACAGACACTACAAATATTAAGTTCAAAATTAAAACCGTGTCTTATCCAATGTTATAACCACATAGAGCAGATGGAAAGTTTTATTTAAGTGAATATCTTTTAGCTTCAGTATAAGCTTCGAAGGTTTTATCAGAATAACTCACTATAAACGATTTATCATCAAGAGAATGAATATAGGTAGGTTATGTTTGGACTCGATTTTAAGAAAGCAATTTAAATTGCATATAATAATTAATAAATTCATAAAATTAATATATATACACTCTATACTAATCATTTCAATTATATGATAATGTACATTTCTAATTAGTAATTTTTAGTTAATCTTCAATTTAATATGAATCTAAAATTCAATAAGGAAGAATAATATGGATTAAGCATCTTTAAAAAAAAAATATAGTAGAATGCTAAAAGTTAATGAATTTAAATTAGTATATTCAAGATACGATTCTAAAATTATTTTTTATGAATTATTAAGTTAAATATTGTTTACAATATTTTAATTCAAAGAAATAAGCAACAAAAGTTTAACTCAAATTGAATTCATGTTCATTTATAAACTCAATATAGATTAATTTTCTATTTTTACATATATTGTAGCAATAATAAACATTTCCCTAATGTTATTTTATTTATAATACTGAATATTATTATAAACTAACTTTTTGAAAAGTATATCTAAAATATAATATCATATATTAATAAGATTAGATTATCATTATTAAGTAATCAATAAATTTAGAATTATTACTATTCAAATTAATCTTTTGTATTTTTCATACCTACTTTATTTTGATAACAATAAAACTCATAGATTTGTGATAGTTTTATAAAATAGAATTTATTAAAATAACAAAAATTTTTAATAAATATAATATATTGGCTTTCTATTTAAAAATGATTAAAAATTATAGGTTGCTACAGACTCAATATAATTAAGTATCTAAGATGTATAGAGACACTTTATTTCTAGTAGATAATCAATTATAATTGAAACTAAATTTTTATGCAGTTTAATAAAAATATAAAACTAAAAAAAGATCTAGTACAACTGAAATATAATAAAGTATATGAATAGAGATTTAAATATATTAATTAAAAATATCATTGCGACTATTGATATAATTGGGAATCTGTATTTGGCATATTGTGGCATTCGATTTTTTTGCATTTACATGATTTTGTGCAATGTTTTTATATTTGATAACACCCACAATAAAGATTAAAACATTGATTCTTTTTACATGTGCATTTAACATTCTTTCTTTTTTTCCCTTATGATTTACTATAATTTTTTATATGAAGTATTTTGCCAACCAATTATTTTACTGTTTTAGCACCTTTGAAAAGTATTAATTTTTTATTTAAGTTTTAAGAATCTTGAGACTTGACACTTAACTCCTTTAAAATAACTTAATTTGGGATTTTAATTTTTGATTCCTCCTACAATTGTTTTGAATCTAATTAGTTCTAATCATGCAAAATGGTTTGTTATTTTATTTTATCATCTAAAGATAATCCTAATGTTTGTTAACTTTTTTTCTAATCTGTTATATCTGAGAAAAACTCTTCAATTGATTTTAATCCAATATTAGGGAATGGTTTTTTGTAAAAGTCACTTCTACTTACGAAAAAATCAATATAATACATGACAATTAAAATTTTAGAAAAAATGGAATTGCTTACTTTGTAAATAATAATTTAGATGATTGTAACAAATCTCTTTCTTCATTTTGTGCATTAATTTATTGTATTAATCTGATTCAAAAGTAATAATGTATGGCATATTTATTTTAAATAATGTATAATATTCTCCTAATCATATGCATTATGAGTTTGATTTAATGTAAGTTAAAGGTTATTAGACCACCAAATCTAATAACAGAGAATATTGATTATAGTATTGCCAACTTTGGGTAGTTTATATATTGTATGAAAAATAGAATAATACCATTTGGACATCGTTTAATGGGAGCAGTAGATATGGCTATACCTAAAAATGGATGTAGTGATCTCTAACCTACTTATGGAGCTTAATTTATTTTAATAGAAAGAGGTGATTGCACTTTTGTTACAAAGGTTAGGAATGCAGAGAAGGCTGGGTATTCATTAGCAATTATTGGAAATAATAATGATGATCCATTCTAATCTGATTTTGAAATGGCTGATGATGGTTATGGATATTAGGTTAATATATTAAGTTTTATTTTAGGTATAAATACCTTCCATATTCATTAAAAAAAAACATTTTGATTAATTATAAAATAAAGCATGGAATTATTCAATAGCTGATACTAATGATGAAAAGATTATGTTACTTTTAAAATTTGATGTTGTCAAATCAGAAATTGTATCTGTTATATTTGGATTAAATTTATAAGATAGGGAGTCTTTCAAAATTATTGATGACTTTAAACCATATTATATTAAACTTTAAGATCAAAACATTAATTACACTCTTGTATATTCGATAATGAATTTTTAATCAGAATCTTATAAAAATAATGAAACTAATCCTGATTGTATATGCTAAAATAGATATTGCGCATTTGATCCTGATGGTGATGCTATTGGAACTGGAAAAGATGTAGTCAATGAGGTCTTAAGAGAAACATGTATATTTTAAAAATATCCTTAAAAATGGTTTGAATATATGGTAAATATTAGATATAAAAATAGGATCAATTCAATTTCAAATGTACCAGAGTTTAATCCTATTCAGTTTGTAGTTAATAAGTGATGGATATGGTAGGGATTCCTAAATAGGAAATTAAAAATTGTTTTGATGATTCCTTTGTTGATTAAAATACTTCTTTACCAACCAAAAATGATACAAACGTAATCAATATTTTACTGGAAAATTAATTACATATATAATAGATTGCTGGAATGAATGGATATCCATCAGTTCTTGTCAATGCATAAACCTACAAAGGTTAAATCACTGGGAAAGGAATTTTTGGAGAGATTTGTAACTGTAAATTAAACATCTAAATATAGGTTTTGAAAAAACTCCCAAATTATGCAGTTTTGAAGTTGATGATTATTCCTCTCCTAATGTAGATGAATCATTTACTCTTTACATGGTGATTATAACTGTTATAGTTGTTATATTGTTAGTACTTGGATTTTACTTTTTGAGTAAATTGATCAAAAAAGATAGTTAAGAAGTCACACAACCTAAGGTGAATGAGATGGTTAGTCAATATATTAAGTTTTATGAGGGGAAGGATAAACAGAAGGAAGGTTCTATTTGAAATATTTTATTGATGAACATGAATTCAATTTAACATCTAAAATTAATATTGCTTCTAACTATTTAAATGACTGAGATTAATTAATAAAATTAATAATATTATGATCTTCCAACTTCGATACAAATCAAAATTCTCAGAATCTTTGAATGAAACTAAAGATTTGTATTCAATGCAAAATCCTAAATAGAATGTCCCTTAAACATAAAGAATTGATTATACAAATAATATCTAAACGAATAAACTACTTCCAAATCATTCAGAGGACATTTTGCTATGCTTGGTATCAAAAGCAATTGTTACCAATAACAAAAACCAAATTAAGAATCTACTCAGAAATTAAACCTTCTCAAATAACAAAGGATTATATCCAGAAATCAAAGAAGAACATCCCTTCTATAACCAAAAACATGGTCTAAATTATTCAGAAATTGAAAAATGTAATTTATAATCACATTTTCAATAGAATCTAAAAATATTTTACCTTCGTTGTAGATAATTTCAAAGAAGCCAATTATTAGGATATAATGTACATAGAAGGAATTAAATGACCTTTACTCATCGAAAAGTAGTAAATTAATAACTCCAAGGATTCAAAAAAATAGTAATTTATAGTCATTAGCTTAATAACCAGAAAATGATAAAATATGTAGAACATCATCAACCCCATTTATTTATAAAAATTTGTAAAACTAAAATTTTACTAACAGATCTGATTCTTCAAAACAGCGATCAAAATCAAAAAGTTAAAAAACTTAAAAATAAACAATCTAAAATCCTAAATAGAATTAAGAAAGAGAGAGAAAATAACTTTAAAATCATAACAAAGTTTCTGAAATTTAGTAATCTAAATCTAATATGATAGATTTATAAGATAAGAAACTTTAATTAAAGAATAAGAAAAGATTAACTTAAACAATCTAATAATAATTTAATATAACTATTAAATAAGATTTTTAATAAAATAACTTTTCAAAATAATAGAATTTAAGTTTTCCAAATAATAGATCAAATCATTTAAAAGATAAATTATAATAGAGATATACATAATATAGATGTTTTTTAAACAAAATAAATTTTTCCAACAATTAATCAATTCAATCTCCTTAGAAAATGGAAATTCCAGCATATTATTTTTTTGTTGGAAAAGGAAACAATTCTAGTTTGATAAAAAATCTATTTCGTTAACGATGGTGGTGGTAAGAAGTCGAAACAATTGATTTAGCCAAAGTCAATATGGTTTGGACATAATTGAAATAAAATATTTGTATAGAAAGTTTAATAGCATTTAATGTTGTAAGTTCAGATTTAAATTATAATAATGAATCATTTATTTAAAATATTGAAGATACAGTAACTGATTCAAGTAATTCAGATTTGGAAATCAATATTATACATAGATAAATTCCCCTTTTAAATATAGCTTAATAAGTCAAATAACCTTAATATTAAATTAATAATTTAAATTAATTAAAGAAATTATTCAATTTAATAGACCTCTAAAAAATATTAGGTTATATGAAGAATAACAATAAATGTGAGTCTTAATTAGTGTTTAGTGATTATTCTGAAAAACTGCTGTTAGATATTAAAGGAGTATAATATTGTTTTTATATTAGTTTCACACATAAACTAAAATAGAAAGTAGAAACAATAAAATGCACAACCATATGTAAGACAATTGGCATTTGGGAAATAAAAAGGCCTTATTTTACAACATGAGGAATTATATGAAAATAATAAAGGAAGAGTACACAAAGTATATTCCAAGAACTTTTCATATTTAATAAGGGATAACAGATCCTGAATATATAAAATTTATAGATTATTATAACAAAAGACAAGAGGAAATGAAAGAATAAGAAAAGAAGTTATAAATGAATTATAAGAGAGATAAGAAGATAAGACCAATAAGTTTATGGATTGTAAAACCTGGAGAATGTTCGAATAGAGGAAATGGGATCACAGTTTGTTAGGATTTGTTAGATATTAATAAGTTTATAATGGAAGAGTAACCAGATGGTAGATAGAGAACTTATATAATATAATAATACATTGATAATCCATTTTTATATAATAAGAGAAAGTTTGATATTAGATGTTATATGCTTTTGACATCATAGAATGGAATTTTAAAGGGATATTGGTATTAGGAAGGATATATAAGAACCTCTTCAAAAGAATTTACAACAAAATGTTTAAACAAATATATATTCATTTAACAAATGATGCAGTGTAATCAAAAGATGAAGATTATGGTAAATTTGAATAGGGAAATAAGATTTCATTTTTAGAATACTAAAGATATTTGGATATATTTTATAAGGATTAAAAATTGAATTTTTTTATTGATATATATCCAAAAATGAAATAAATAGCTTTAGATTTAATGAAGGCATCTTATGGAAAGATTGATTAATAAAGAAGATCTAATAGTTTTGAAGTAAAACGAAGTATAAATTATAAATTAGCTTTTTGGATTAGATTTTATGATAGATGATAATTTTAAACTTTGGCTTATAGAAGCAAATACAAATCCATGTCTGGAATTATCATGTCCACTTTTGAGTAAGATAATTCCAACCCTTATTGAGAATTTATTTAGGTAATAGTAAAGAGATTAATATATAGAATTGTTATAGATCCAATATTTCCTCCTCCTTTCTTTGAGGAATGGCCTCTTAATAAAAAAGTGTTTATTCCTGACAACATTTTAGAAAATAATCGATTTGAACTGTTATTTGATGAATAGATTGATAAAAAGATAATGATTAATCTTTATAGAGAAAATAAAATTGATTAAGATTGTTTTAAAATAAAAGAAGAAGAGGAAGAAGATGAAGTTAAAGATTGATTATAGATTCTTAATTTTCTTTAATAATATGTATTTAACAATCTATATAATAAAATATATCTATTTGAATCATCATTTCTTTTTTCTTTTTTATTTGAATTGTTCTTATAATTAATTTAAAGCATATGTTTCTGTCTCTACTACTTCAGAATGTACACTTGGATCTGAATCAAAATCACCACCTTTAGAAACATTAGATTAAGCAGTTAATGGAAATTCATTATTATCAAACCATTGAATATTGATTTCATTCTTTATGTTAACAAAGAATAAATCATACTCATCAAATTCTAAACTGCAATCTCCATATTCATCTTAACATCCCCTTTCTAATTATTCTTATGTTATGCAATTAGAACCATAACAATAAATATTTCTAAGACTACCCTTTTATGTTTTTAATCTGCCTTTGTCATCCAATTAATATAATCCAAAACTATATTAAAATTATATCTAATTTCCATCAGTATCCTTTATTTCTATTTATTTACTTTTGCATTCTTTTCCATCTATAAATTAATTTGAATTAGGATCTTCTTAACATAATTATACACGAATTTCTTAAGTTGCAAGCATTTTTAGAAATAACATTTTTGACTTACCCCTCAATCCAGTTAAATAATTTGCCTCTCCTTTTTTATTTGTCTATTACTCAGGTATTGTTATATAATCATTCTAATAATTACTGAAGTATGGTCTTGGAAATTTACTAAAATGAATTTTCAACTCTCCCTTCTTATATTCTGACAATGCAACATCCTTTTATTATTATGTCTTACTGTGTGATGCCAAATGTATTTTTATGGTATAAGTGATCCAAAACATGAACATTTCAATGATTTACAAATTGGACATGTATATACTTTTTATGTATAAGCATTTATTTATTCATTATTAATATACATAACAGGACCATTAAGTAATAATTCTGCACATTCAAATGCTTTTTATCCACTTCCTACTATATGTCTAGGATTTTATTTAAGAGTTTCTATTAATCCTTATTCTTAACAAAATATATCTGCTGGAGTTTACTCTCTACCTGTACAAAGTAATATATGCTTAAAATATTATTTATTTAATGTACTCTTGCTTTTATTGTTCGGTACTTATCTTTGATTTGAGTATCAGCTCTATAAATTATGTCAAAAATCATACGATAAACTCTATGTTCTTATTTAAAACCATCCATCAGCCAACAATCTAATTGTTAGTGCTTCTCTTTGGGAATGAAATATTTGCAATTTTTTTAATGTGTATATATGTTTCAATAATACACTTCCTAACAATCTTAAAAAGAATCCTGCTAATGATTTTGGAGGGCATTTCTCTCCATATTAAACAAGTGTCTTATATGCCTGTGTATCTGTTAGATCTTTACAAAATGATATCATTTAATTTGTTTTATGAAAGTACATTAATTTCAACAGTTCACTTGCTGGATATGTTGTGTAATTCATTTTATTCTCTAAATTTCCAGAACCAAAACATTTCCCTTTCTCCACTATTCCTATACCTAATCCATTCAAATATTCAGGCAGTCTTATTTATATTTAAAACTACCTAGATGTTCTAAATAAATTGTATAAAAATTTAACAGAGGCAGGTCCTCCACCAATTATTAATAAGTTATACTTTTCCTCTATTTCCATTTTATTTTTAATTTAATATTAAATATTATGTTGCTACAACAAATCCACAAATCTGATTACAATCATAATAAGATGTTATTAGTAATGGTTTTATACCTTAAATTTAATATACATAATCAATATTATCTTGAAATTGGTGTCGTTGGACGTTATCGAGGTTTAACTTGAGTTTATGTTCTTTTTTATCTTATTCCTGCATCATCTTCATTGCTTTCATTAAGAGATTTACAAGATTCTTTTAATTTTCTTTTTTCCAAATTAGCTAATACTTTTGTCTAAAAATCATTTATAACTATTTAAATTTTAATCATAAATTACTTTAGTTTATTGATTGATGATTAATCTACATTTTTTGATAAGAGTTTGTTAGAGTATCTAATTTTGTCTTTATTTCTAATAATGAATTGTCTAATTGGCTCATTTATAATTAAAATTATGAATTGTCAGCATTTTCTTCATTATATTATTCATTACTAATCTAAGTCTAAATTTTAATATTTTAATAATACTTAAAATGGAATCTATTTTTTAGTTAAAATATTTTTTAACACTATTAAAGAAAGTAGAAAAACATTTGCTGAGATTCCCCAAAATAATAATGGAGAATTTATATAATATTATGATAAAGCAAATTATACTAAAACGTATTCCATAAATTCCTCTTTATTTTGGGTCTAATTTATAGTTTCTACTCCTGAATTAATTTATGTCTCAGTATATCCTGAACATGAAGATTTATCATCAAAAGAACATGAAAGTTATTACTATTATGGTATTGAATTAGAAGAATCCTAATCAGAATTTTATTATCCTTATTAATTACTATCTTCTTTAACTTAATTGTGATCATGAGATTCATGAATATCATTTTAATGATCATGATGATTATGATTATGATGATGATGATGATCATAATGATTATGATTATGATCATGATTATGATCATGATCGTGTTCATGATTCAAATGTCCATAATTTATATCATACTCTCTTTAATGAGGATCAATTAAAATATTCTCATTATTTTCTTAATTTTCTGTATTTGTTAAATCTTCATTTTATTAATTATTGAGAATTTACATATCAATCTATTATTCTTATTCTAAATTTTATTCAATTTCATTTTAATTCTGATTAAGCTTAATCTACTCTGAAATGAATTATGCATTTTCATTTTAAATATTATCTTAATTATTAATATATACTTAATCTTTTGGAATTTACTCTTATTCTTACTATTAATTATTATATTCTTATTCTTACTATTAATTATGTTATTCTTATTCCTATTATTAATTATGTTATTCTTATTCTTATTATTAATTATTATATTCTTATTCCTATTATTAATTATTATATTCCTATTCTTATTATTAATTATTATATTCTTATTCTTATTATTAATTATTATATTCTTATTCCTATTATTAATTATTATATTCTTATTCTTATTATTAATTATCATACTCCTAATTAATTTATTAATTATCAATATTATTTTCTATAATTGGTTCTACATTATCTTAAATTTCTATTTATTAGACATTTTCATCTAAGATTTAAGATTATTATATATTTTCTTCAATATCTGGAATATTATTTGGTGTCTCATCTTAGGTATCAGGAATATTTTCTAGAATTTAATTTGATTCATCATTTTATTCAATAATTAATTGTTCAGATTATTATTGATTGATATCTTAATTAAATTGTTAATCAATGATAATTTCCTCAATAATTTAATTTTCTTATTGATTGTTTAATTATTATTCAGCAGTCTAATCTAATTCTTCTGCATTTGAGGATTCGTTTTTATTATCTTCTTATTATGGATTAATTATCTCTTCTTCTATTTTATTTTCAAAATTCGATTCAGTTTAAGATATTAATATGTCTTGATTATCATTAATTTACTCTGATGATTCTGTAATTTTTATTTCAGTTTCTAATTAATTATTGTTTTCATCTATAATTTCAGTTTCTTTCTGATTATTGATTACTTCTTCAATTAATTCAGGATCTGGTTAATTATTTACATTTATTTCATCTACTTGAATTGGAATTTATATGTCTTCTTATTGATCTTTATTGATATCATTAGTATCAGATTATTAAAATTAATCGAATTATTATTGAGTCTATTAATCATTAATTATAGGAATGGGATAAATAATTTCATTAGTTTAATAATTTGATTGTGGATCTTATTGATTTTCAATAGATTCTTCAGATTTTGTATTAAGTTATTCTTAATGTAAAGTAGTGTGATCTTGAATAGTAGGGATTTCAAAGTCTTGATTTTCATTTGCTAATTATTGAAGTAATTAATCAAACTCAATTTATTCTAAATCTACCTAATCTGATTATTCAGATATAGATTATTAAGATTATGAAATATGTTCTTATTGTTGTTAATTATCATTTTGATTTAGACTTTAAACTTCGTATTCAATAGACTGTTAATTGATGATATCTATAATGTCATCATCCATAGATAAATGTTCTGGAATTTAGATGTCAGATTCACTAAATTTATCAATGAAATCATCGCTATTTAATTAATTTGTATCAAAATCAGATTATTTAGTGTGTTTTTCACTTTTGACATGTTTTTTAATGATTTTTCTGGCTTAGGTAGCTAAAATGATTATTAATAAAAGTAGGAACAACTTCATTAAATTATTTAATATACACGTAATAAAAAGAGTTGAAAATAATAATTGTTACTAGAATGAATTGAAAATATGAATATATATTATTAAGTATATATGATTGGATTCAAAATGATTTAATATGCCCAAGATATTCTTCTCCAGTAATTCTAACTTGGGATGTACATATCTCAAGTTCATCAGCAATCATTGCTGCTAAAATATGAGGACAAAATTAGAATTCACGAGCGCTGAATTTATCACAATTACATATATAATTATTAGCCTTATATACTTTACAAACTTTTGAGTTGGATTCTGTAATTAAATAAATAGCTTTATTAGCTTAGACTGGAATTTTAGTAATGGGTATTTTATTCTCAATCAAGTAAAATGCTTCCTCATAGTGTTTATGAAGATCATACAAATTTTTATGGGCTTCTAGAGATTTATCATCAGTTTATCCCTTAAATAAACCTACAACTCTTGAAACACATTATTGAGTTACTTACAATAATTCCATTTAAATTAATATTATTAGAAATTAAAAACACTCTAAAATAACAATAATTGATCTTACAATTATTAATGTGTTTATGTAAGATTCTAAATAATTTATTACTCGATATCTTCAAATCTTCATCGTTTTATATAAAGTTATTTAATTATCTCACGCAATTTATCTGTGACATATAAAATAAAATAACTCATTTTGACATTTTAGTCCAAATGAATATGAACAGAAATAATGAGATTGATTAATATGATATCATTTTATGAATTAAATCCATAATCTTTTAGTTCTCCCCAATAGTCTGATATTCAAGAACTCATGCCATACAGAATTTTTAATGGTTTAATAGATACTACTCTAGAAACAAATAAATAAATATATGAAGTATTACATCTAAAATAAGATTATTGTTGCTTATTAAAGATTTAGTAATGATTATATATAAGGATTAATAGGGGTGAGAATAATTGAAAAAGATAATTAATTATGAAATCAAAAATTTGTAAAATAAAATTAATAAAAATCAATTAACGAACTTAGCATTACCTGTTTTATGTTATTGAGCTGCTCCTTATCCTTATTCAGCTGGTTTTAAGATTTAGAAAGAACACATTAAGGATTCATCAATTGACATCATTGCACCTATAAATTTGGATATCTATAATAATACCAGCATTATCGAATTCTCCACAATAATTTGGTGCTGAAAATAGAGTGACTAATTATCTTTTAGAAAAGAATTCATATCCATCTTCCACAACCTAGATAATAAGTAAATATAATAATAATACTTAATGAGCTCTACATATTAGATCTAATTCATGTTTTTTTAAGAAGACTTGTACTATTTCTTGACTGAATACATATGAAACACCTCTTTCATTATCAGCCCAACCTTATACATCTTTATCTGGATCTGACCATAATAAATCACATAATAATCCAGTGTCTGGTACATCTGTTGGTCTCATTATTCTTCTGATTTATTCTAAATTTGAAAGTTCAGGTGATAATCCACCATGCATACACAATATCTTTTCATCAATTAATGCTGCAACTGGTAAACAATTAAAACAATCTGTGAATGTTTTCCATAATTTTATTGTGTATCTTCTTTTACCTATTTAATTTATTTCATTTTTTACATTCATCATAAAATCCATAGATTCTATTGATTGATGCACATTCATGATTACCCCTTAAAAGAAAGAAATTTTCAGGATACTTAATTTTATAGGCTAACAATAAACATATTGTCTCTAATGATTATTTCCCTAATATTATAATACTAATTTAAACCTCTGTCTACATAATCTCCTAAAAATAAATAATTGCTTTCTGGTGGATACCCTCCGTATTCAAAAAGTCTTAATAAATCAAAATATTGTCCATGTACATCTCCTATATTATGATTATGATTTATAAACATACCGCATATTTTTAAAGGTGCTTCCAATTCTAATAAAATAGGTTAGGATATGAATATATCTCTTGCTTTGATGCAAAGACCTCTAACTTCAGCTTCACTTAGATTCACATTCTTTCCTGGCTTACTACCTCTTACACTTAATAATCTTTCAATTATATTATCCACATCAATTTCACCTTTACCATCCTTATTCATTAATATATAAATTAATATTAATTTAATTAAATTTAATTTTTAATTTAATTTCTAATATTAACTGTGACAATTTTTATATAAAACCAACAATTCAATAATGAAAATGATATAAATGATATAAATAAACTGAAATTCATTAAACTTATGATAGTCTAATTTCATTTTGCAATATAGTATCATAAATTTCAATTAATTTAGCTGCCAATCTATATCCACCAATAGCAAGATTTTCTTAACAAAATTCAATAGCCTATATCTCATAATCACTATTGAATGTATTGGATTTCTAGAGCATAGGATAAACAAATTGTTAAGCCTATCTAAATCCAAGTAATGACCATACAGTTGGATTACTAAAATATAATACGTCAAATACGTCATGTCATATTTCTAATATTTATTAATCGGGAATTTATTAATTATGTCATTTGACTATTTATCAAGATTTTAATGATCAGATTAAGATAGAGGTCTTGACATAAATGTAGTATTAGAAACCATAGTAAAAGCTACAGCATCCCAATATGAATGGAAATTAACAAAACTTCCATTTTTCAACTAAATCTTAAATAGAAATAATTACTTGGATCTTCATAAAGTTACCTCCAGCATCTCCATTAGGATATGTATCATTCCAAAATGTAGTGTCATGTAATGGTTAATGCATATCTCCTATCACATGTAATAAGACTCTTAACATCTAAGCCTTAAACATAGTATGACGATACTTCGCAGTCTTACTATTAGTTAAAACAGCTGTAGCTTAGTTTATAGCATATATAGAATTTATATTCCTACCTTAATCTTCAATTTTAATTAAGAGTCTATAATATAATAGATATACTTTATACCCATCAGGATTAATTGGTTTATCTGTATAATGCCAATCATTAAGAAAAGAAGTTCCTGTTTCCTTTATGTCATCTAACCATACTGCTGCTTCAACAAAACTATTTGTTCTTCCATCAGTCAAATTATTCAAATCTTATACTAATGAATCTGCCCATGCTAAAACATCTGGTCTATCATTTCTTAATTAGTTTTTAGCTATCTAGGCTGTCATCATGTGTCCTAAATCCCACCAACATTTCACTAATGATATTAATCCACAAATCAATAGACTTTGCATTTTCGAGCAATTATTATTATTTCAAAATTCTCTCTAATTCTTCAGAAAACTTATATACTCAAACTTTGATAATTTTAAAATTTTAGAATTCATTCATTCTTTTTTACAAACAATAATACGTACTATTTTTGACATTATATTTTACATTATCTTTTTCTTTTTTTTTTAATTAAACAATTATTAATATTTAATAAAAATTTAACTCATATTAAATTTATTAATTCAATCAATATTTTTATTAAATATTATTTAGAACATAAATATATAAATAAATGCTTTTATATAATTAATTTTAAGCAGAATAAGAGATTTAAACCATTAATAACTAATTGAAACAAATTTTATCATTTTCTTTTTAGCTTCTACTCTGAACTTTATTTAAAAATGGGTTTTAATCTTCTATCCTAATAATATATTTTTTAATATATATACTTTTTCTTGCATTATTGTAGAATATTGAAAATGTCCTTATAGTTCTTCAACTCCTTAAATTCTAGCATAAGTGATTTAACAAATCTTGAAAATGAAATAGAAATATAGATACTTTTTCTGAATTAAATTTACTCCACTTTTTATTATGGAATTCTAAATAAAATTTTGGAATATCTTTAGGATCATAAAAATTGATAAATGCATACCCTACATTACATTTGTTCTATTATTTTCATTAATTAAAAATAATACTGTAAAATCAATAGGTAAATAAAAAAAGTTGTAGGTATTCTTATGATTGCAATCTATTTCTTCAAGAAGAAGAGGTTAAGAATATTTATTTGGTATATTCTTGATCATTAAGGTTGTACGATTGTCTTTTGGTATCTTGCCATAATTACATTAATTTATTTACATTCTGTAATTGAATTTAGAATTAAGTTGTTTGCTATTAAGGTTCATAGCGTCTTTTATTTTTAAATTGAAACATTTAAAATGAAGTAGGCATAGTTGAACTAAATACTTCATCCCAACCCAAAGAAGATCCACTCATTGATAGATTCATCTCCTGAATCTATTAATTTGAGTGTTTAGATAAAGTTTCAGGTAGAGTTGATCCATTTGAATAAAGTGTTCTTGATCTATTTTTTATTATTGGTTATGAAGGTTGTTAATTTGTAAATTAATCTACATCTTCATCATCATCAATATTTAATTACTACATAATATGAATTTAACATTACTTTTAAACAATCTTAAACTTAATTCATTTAGGAAACCACCTCTTTCTTTTGTCCTGTTGGTTTAACGAATTGAGAAAAGACATTTGGGTCTATCCTAAATACTATAGGTTTCATTATTAAATAAATATTATATTTAAGCAATGCATTATATTTATCAAATCTTATAATTATACATTTCTCATAATTTAGTATAGATACCATTTTACTAATTAAAAGTTTGGTTTAAAATTCAAACAATATTGTACTATCTTATATAAGTTTAAAAAAAACAAATATGCAATTAAATTTAAATATATTCTTTTGTTGTATAACTTTATAAATTTCTTTATAATCTTTTTTGTCTATGCATTTTTATATGTTTTAAGTTTTCTGTAAGATCACAAGTAATTAATGATTTGTGTTTCTATATCTCCTAAGTATGAATGGTAAAATTATTGTTTAAAATAATCTTGATTAATTTAGTTTTATAAGGAATATAATTAATGCGAATAACATTGATTGATAACTTAACAATAATTGCTCATTCACAACACAGGAATTCTGGAGAAGATGCAATTGCTAAGCTTTTTGCTATTGTACCATACATTTAATATTTATCCCTATTATTACCTTAACATGGATGGCAATATTGGAATTATAGTGATGGCTATTTAATCTTTATATCAAAGGCATCATCATATTTCACTATTACACCCTTCTTTGAATTTCAAAATAATTTCATTTACTATCCTTTTACAATTTTCAGTCTAATAATACTTTTGGGTGTATTATTTTATTTATCCTTTTTCAGTTTAGAAGTGGATTCAAATAAATAGAAGGTTAAATATTTAGAAGAAAGGACAACTCTTTTTTGCTCAATTATATTTTTCACTATTTAAACCCTTTAAATACCATGTTATAAGTTTTATATCTAACAGATTATTGATGCTAATCAAAAAAATGAAATAAATCAATTAATAATCAATATCTGTGCACTTATTTTATATTGCTTCTATGTTTTTATTTGTGAATATTTTTTAAGAATTTACTCATTTCTACCTTACCATCCGATGTAATAAAAATTTACTAAATTGCGAAGTTCATTAATATTATTAAATTTAATTGCTATTGTATTAACTTTAGAATAACAATCAAATTCATACAATCTTATTGGTTTATTTATTTTACATATGATATTTATCATTAAAATTTTAAATCATTTGTACTATCAATCAGATGTTCCTCATAAAAATATGCTCGATTTTCAAGTCTCATTTACTTTAGAATCATTAGCTATTTTAATCACCATTAATGTTTCATCTGAAAATTAAATTTTTCCTGAAGATCAAATAGCAATTTATATTTTGTTTATCTTAAGTCTTGGATTAATTTTAGGCAACCATCTATTTTAGTTTCTATATAAATATAATTTCATTAGAATTAATAGATATCTTAATCTAATTTATGAAATGCATAATTGTATTTGCAACATCAATTCCAATTCGATAACTATACAGCATTTATTAATGTATCAAATAATCAATGATGATTAATTTACAAAATTTAAAAAAAAGGCTCTTCTTAATAATAAAAGTACTAAGATGGTTGATTATTATAAATTAGGTTTGTATTTAATAAGCTAAATCTTTCTTGAGTTAATTAATGAATAAAAAAATGAAGCAGAATAAATATAATTATTATTTGTTTCTTTTTTAGCAGTTATAAAAAAAAAACCACTTGTTGCTTATGTTGCTTTTAAAAGATTTGAATAAAATATTAGTTATAAGAAATCTTATTATTTTAATTTTATAAAAAGAAGAATTAACTTACATTTTTAAAAGAGAGTATAAGCTGTTTAAAAGATATATCAAAATGAAAAGTTATAATCAATAAAAAATGAAAATAATAATAATGAAAAAAGAATTTCTACTCATGAACTTTACAAATTTTGTTAGTTAGAAGAGAATTTTTAAAAAGCAATATTGGAAATAATTTAATATAAAATACGAATTTGGGAATTTTAGATTTAAGGTTGCTAAACAATTTATGATTTTTAAGCTTTTGCACTTCCTTTAAGTAAAAAAATAGTAGATTGTATTTTATACTTAAGAGAATAATAAATTAATGTTGTAAAAGAAGAATTTATAAAAAATTGTGAAAACATATTAACTTTAAAGATATGTTCTATGTTTTACAGTTTTGTTATGAATGATTACTATCATTCTTTTTATTGTGAATAGAAAATATCAGATATAATGAAAACTGAAACAATGTTTTAATTGAATACTTCATCAAGAGCAAATATTTTGTAAGACAATACTGTTTTAGTAATAGTAAGCATGGTAAGATAATTAGGAAAAATCTTAAATATAAATAAAAGTCAATTAGCAAACTATTTTGGTTTTCCTTTGATTGAATTTAATTAGATTAATACTATTGGAGATTTGATGCCTTAACACTTTGGGGATTAACATGATGGTTTTTTACAATCTTATATAAAAGAAGCAAAGACTGATTTAGTGTTTAAAGATGTTAGAACATTTGCAAAAAGTAAAAATGGATTTATAATACCATAATATATTAATATATATAACAACTATTATATTTTTGATGATTTTACTGTTATTGGTAGTTTAACAAAAATAAAGGAATTTCGTAATTATCTGTTATTTGATGAATTTGGTAAATGTATTGGTATTACGTAAGAGATGAGTAAATTTTTAATACCATAAGATAATTTAGAATTCTTTATATAAAATATTGATTTATTTTATATATATATGTTTGTTCCTCATATACATATGTATATAAATGATATGTTATAAAATAAGAATATTTAAGATGGAGGAATGTTATAAAAATCAGTTATTATATATGTATACTAGGATTTGGTTTAATTATCAAAGATTCATGAATCAATATTTTTAACATATTAAGCTTAATCATAAAGATGTTTTGAATAAACAAAAACATAAATTTAATTTGAATATTTAAATTCAATGATGAATAGTCCTAGAAATGGAATTAGTTAAAGATTGATTACAGATATTAAGTCGATTTAAAATTCTTAATAAGATGAATATTAAATTTTAGATACTAATAGACAGGTTAATAGTGATAAAAAATAATAAAGAAGAGGAGGCATATCAGGTTTAACATAATAGAAAGAATAATAAATGATAGAATTTTTTAATGCTATTGATGTAATACTATTACTATGTTTAGGAATTGTAAAAAACCATGTATTTATGTACAGCTAAAATTCAAATAGTTGATATAGGTAAAAAGAGATTCAAATAATAATATTTTATTTTAGATTGTTCTGACTTTGTTGATAGAGGTAATCTATAAGAAGATGAAAAGAAACAAATGAAGACATAATAAAGTTAATTACGGAATACAAATGCCAGAAATCTTATGAGAAGACCAAGTTAAATATTTTCATATAGAAAGTAAGTTGAATAGTAGATGGATTCTTCAATAATTAATCCAATGGGATCTTATCTATAACAATAAAGTTTTCTTAATTAAAATTCTGGATCTAATCAGATATTAAGTTATGTGAGCTAAAAAAGATCTAATTAAATTGGTACAATAATTAAAGGAGACTCTGAAAGTGTTCATGAAGAAATAATTAGTAATGATTTTAACTAGATTATAAAAAGAAATGATGAATTAAAATCTAATTAAGGACCAGTACTTAAATCTTAATCTAGTAGTAAATCTGGTTCATCTGGATAAACTGCTATTGAAATTGTTAATAAATTTAAAACTTAGACTTCTCTAATCTCTAGTCTAACAATTATTTCAATCTTAAAATTTATTCTACTGTTACTATTTATTATATTTATGTCCATCAATTTGGCTTAAGTAACTATTTTCAATCATTAAGTAATTACTTTTATAACTGATATCAATCTTCCTATTCATTTTAACAAATATCTCTTAAATATATTCACTTATTCTTGGATTATTTAAATGAAAAATATTAATATATTAAATACTAGTTAATTTATTAATTATCAACTCTAAAATTAAAGAATTAGTATGCAAAGCACATTTTTAAATCTTACAGAAATGTATGGAAGTTTTATTGACTTAGAAGAAAATCAATATTTAGATGAAATTTAAATTGTTAATTTAGATGAAAACCTATCTATAGAAAATACAGACTTTACTGGCTATCTTTATTATCTTGAATAAGTAGGTTTTGGATTAATGCATAGTGATAATCAATAAAGATATTTAACTAATCTTTTAAAATATAGAATTAATTTTGGAAATATTATTAGTAATAATGAAAAAGTGGTTTCTTCATTAAGTTCATATTATAAGATTTAATAAGATGGAAAAATTTCAACATTTTTTAATTCAATTTTAATTTAAGTAATTGTTATTGGTATTATTATTTTATCTTAATTATATTTTTGGAGAAAAATAGAAATTTATTGTTAAAGTATTTTGATGTTATCTAATCGGCTTAATGAAAAGGCAGCAGAAACTCAAATTAATAAATTCAAATTAATTATAATAGTTTTAAAATAACTTTATGGATAATTTGGTTATAAATAAAAAAATTGTTATAAACTTTGTTATACTGATTAATCAAAAAAGATAATGAATTTGAAGTCGATATCCAAAAAGAAATCTCGAAAATCCATTTTTATATAAAATATTCCAAATGAAGCAGAAGATAGAGATAAAGATAAAAATAAAAATAAAAAATCTACATAATCTACTATTCCTTTAAATTCTAGAATAACAAAAACTTCAATCAAATTTATCTTCAAAATAATTTTAGTATTATTTTTAGCAGTTATGATAATTTTTTATTTCATAGGTTGTTATCTTTTATTTAAGGATTAAACATTTAGATTAGCACCTACTTAAGATTTAGCTATGGATTATATAGACTTTTATATTCATTATGAAAATACTATAGTAATTTCCTTATTAATAAAATCAGAATAATAGATTTATGATTTTATGAGAGAAATGATTCCATCAATTAGTATGACTATTAACCATTATTAAGCACATTTGAATACTATACCACTTCTTTTATGTACATATAGTTTTGATCATAGTGATTTCAATGATATTTATAATAATATTATCTAATCTGATGCTATGAATGGAGAAGATGAAACATTTATATTAGGTTTATATAATGGAGACTTTTGTTTATTTTTTTAATCTGACATCCCTTTTTGTAATAAAGATTTAAGTAAGGTTGATTTTTAAAATAAATATGGAGCATTTTCAAATAAAGATAATAATTCTGAATATCTCAGTAAGGGAATCTCTGGCATGGTTAATAAAATGGATAATTTTCTTAATTAGTATTTTGAAACTGAAATTCTAACAGGAAATACAGTTAATGACTTAGAATTATTAAGTAAATAAATAAACACATAGGATTTTAACAACATAATTATATAACATTATCTTGACACTTATTTAGGTTTTGAAGCCTTTGTTGCAAAAATGTAACAATCTTTGATTACTATGATTGAAAATTAACAAGACTAATACAACATTTATTAAATTGTAGTTGGAATAATTTTTACTATATTTTTTTTATTTTCTTCAGTTTTCATAGTTGTGAAAGTTAATCTAAGATTGATTTATATCAGATTGTTAATCACTCTTTTACCAATCGAAATTATGCTTGATATTTATACAATATCTTTGTTGAAACTTTTAAAATGAATGAACAAAATTTTCTTTTTATGTATTATTATACTTAAAAACTTAATTAATTTAAATTAATTCTAAAATTAATGTTTATCTTATTTATTTCTATAACTACAGCTTTTGGACTCAATACTTCCTTATTTATTGATAATGAAGTTTATGAATAAAGTGTTTTGATGAATGCTCAATAGCAAACATTTTTTTAGTAATTTGAAGATTATGGCAAAATATTGTAAGTTTCATAATTAATATGATTAGATCAATTAATTTTGCAGGAAATGATTAATCAAATGCATTTTGTAAACCTTTTTATTAAGGAATTTCAATAATATCATCTCCAGAAGGATTGATACCATTAATAGCTGAATAAGCTAAAAAGAACTTAGATGATCTTTCAGAAGATGATTTATATATAGGATATAATGAAAAATTGATTTCATAAGCTAAAAGTCCAGAAGGAATTTGCTTGTTGTCTACTTTAGGAAAAGTCTATTTGATTGAATTTTAAGACTCAAATAAAATTCAATTAAAAAATTATACCTTACCTCCAATTACTAAAAATTAAGAAATTGCAACATTAATTTATGATGAAAAATCTAGATTTTTTTTTGCTTTTTTAAAATCTCATGAAATAATAAAATTTTAATTTTACAAAGAGTAATTAAATACTACTTTTATTTCTAAATCTTAATGGAGAGCTCCATAAAAACAATTTAAATTTGTAGCTAGTAATGGCTGGCTTTATTGTGCATAAGAAGAAGAAGGATTACTTATTTATTAAATATTACATAACGAAATTTTATTAGTTCAAACTATCACATCAAAAGACATATATAATAAAACTCTAGATAATTTTTCAATTATTGATATTTAAGTTTTTGAAGATAAACTATATATTTTAGATGCTAAAAATGGAGTCTCATAATTTAATATCTTTTTTAATGGTACATATACAAAAAATGAACAATTTGGTATCATTAATCTATCAGATTGTCATTCTTTTTCAGTTTCAGGAAATACTATGATTGTTATTTAAAACTTTAAATCAAGTTCTTAAGTTATAGAATATTATATAACAGATTATGAATGGTTAGAAATCAGAAAGTATTATACTAAAAGCAGATTACAAAAAGCAAATATAATTGATGATAATCTTGTTATAGTTATAGGATAACATGATCACAAGATTTTATTAACTAAAATGGCAGATTAATATTTAGATAGATAAAATCATTAATTGTATAATCTATATTAATTTTTAGAGAAAATTATTTTTTTCTTGGGAATTTGTTGGGAGTAGAAAAATACGGAGAAAATAACGATACTCTTTTTGCTATATCTCCTCATGGATTTTATTTTTTTACATATGAATACTTTTCTACAGCTATTGTTTGTAATAGCAATGATGCCTAATCAGGTTTATATAAAACTTAGGTAAATGCTATTTGTATAGATTTTAGATGACTCTGAAAAGTACAGATTGTGAAAAAAAAACAAATAAAGAAGATAATTTACAATACTGTTAAACAAATTTCAATTATAATTTTGAAATCAAAAAGCCTCTATTATCAGCTGAAAGATAACAGTAATATTTTTACTTTGGAATTTTCATTATTTTAATAATTGTTCTATTATTATACATGATTGGATATTATTATAATAAATAAAAGTAAAACTAAAAAATTCTAGAAGAAATTAAGAAAAAAAAAAGAAATATCAATTAATAATAGAGATGATAATCATATTTCCTTTTTTTGCATTAAAAATAAAATCCTATATAATTTACAAATTATTAATAATTAAACTTTATTATAGATTTTGAATCACGTTATTGATTATAAAATACAATTTATATTTTTAGAATCAATAAATATTTATATTCAATAAAATTTAATGATTTTGCAATCTCAAAACAATATTAGGTTTTTTGTGAATATACAAATCTTATGTGTTTTCTCCAAAATTTATATAATTGATAAAAAACTATAAAAGATATTTGAAAAATAAAAGTAATATACAAATTTATTTTTCATTAAATGAAATTTCAATGAAAACAGATAATAAAATTAGTCTTTTAAGGCACTTTAATGAAATAAAATGATAATCTACTAAAAATTAATATTGTATCACTTAATAGTATTTTTTACATATTTAACAAATCTATAGGTGTTAAATATTTTTATACTGTCAATTTAAAAAGGAAAATAGTTTGACAAAAGTATAGGATAAATAAGTAGATATTGTCATCAATAAAGGGAAAAAAAGTATTTAAAAAGTTAAACAAAAAATTGATAATCTAAAATTAATTTTGTTTTTATTAACGAAATTGAAAAGGCATAAAAAATATAGTCTTTTAAGAAATAACAATAAATAATTATAATAAAATTCTTAAAGAAAATTTAAAATATTTGTAAGATTAATGTTATAGGCTTATTAGTTTATATAGTTTATTCGAAATATTTAGGTTATTAAATAATTCAAGTGCAAAAAAATATTCCGAGAATAATCAGAAATTAGATGATTAGTATGATGAAAGAGTAATATCCAAAAAAGATTAGAAAGAGATATGAGAATATATTTTGAAAATTGGTTTTTATGAGTTAAAAATGATAGCTATTAATATATTATAAATTTGTTTAATAAAAATGATAAGGAAAGAATTTAGACTTTTATTATTATCAACAAAAAAGTTTATTGAGCAACTTCCTATATAAAAATAATAAAAGGCATCTATGAATTTAATGAAAATAATATAAGAACCTAAGTCTGAGGAATAGATAATGAAAGAAATAAATTACTAAATAAATTTTCTGAAATTAACAAATCCAAACATTTCTTTTAAACATTTAACTGAAGAGGAAGCTGAAACAGAAAGCATGATATAATAATTGAACGAAGAATAAGAATAGTATTAGTAAAAGGAGGATTTTAATTTGAAAAAGGGGACATATATTTATTAAAATGGAAATTTGATATAAGGATAATCAGAAAAGAGAAAAGAAGTAGATTATTCTAATTGGTATGCAGCTAATGTTGATCCAGATGATTTAAAAAGGTATTTGAGTAGATTAATTTAGACATAAAGAATTGTTAGATAGATAACATTTTAGTGGTCCATTTTGGGAAGGAAAACCAATGCCAAAATCTATATTAGATGAAGAGAATCCGAATACATTGATGTATAGTGATGAACGTCCAGAAAAAGAGTTAAATCCAAATATGAAATAAGAGAAACATGGAAAATTTGAAAAAGTTAAAAGATGATTAATTTAATATTTAATAAAAAATGTAAGCAGCTATGATTGCTCCAAATAAGGTTTAAATAGGGATATAAAATTAAAAATTAGATATTTTTGATGATGGAATACAACTCTAAAAGGCAGGTGGGCTAACAAAAATTCAAGCAATAAGGGTTTTCTTTAAAGAAAATTAGTAATTTGATTCATTCTATATTTCAGTATACGTGGATTTGAAATATTTTACAAATTAAAAGCAGGAGATCTTTTAAAAGCTGGTCACAATGTTCCAAAATCTAAAAAAGAACTATAGAATGTCTTATTAGAAATAGGACCTGATGATTACGTAAGTGAAATTTTTGGTGCATATTAATCTGCAAAAAAAAATAGAATAATTAATATAACATTTATAACTTATAGAGGCAAAGTTTAAACCTTTGGTGGAAAGGGTGACAAATCATTTGGATTTTGTTATCCAGGATCTACATTTGGGGCATTTAAAGGAGGGTAAATTTATATATTTAATTCATATATAGTTACAAGAAATCAGTTGAATGGTTAGAAATAGATGTTATACCATTGCCTGAAGATTTCAAAATAGAAATGGAAAAATTAGGAATATTAAAAATTCAATAAATAAGCATATAGCCTGAGAGAACTTCTTCAAATACTGGATAAGGAGGCTCTCTTATCGTTATACCAAAAATACAAGTAGCTAAACCAATGATTACTGTTTCTACAAACAATACACTCTTAGCAAACTAGTAAAATAAAAATTTATAACAATAACAGCCTTATTAGAATGTTTAATAATAATAATATCCATTATATCAATAATAATAACAATAATAATATCCATATTAATAATAATAATAATATCCATAATAATAGTAATAATAATATCCATATTAATAATAATAATAATATCCATATTAATAATAATAATAATAATATCCTTAATAATAATAATAGTAATAATAATAATATCCGTAATATCCATAATAATAGTAATAATAATATCCTTTTTAATAATAATAATAAACACCTTTTTAACAAAATGTTTACGTTCCATATAACTAATAGCAACCTTAAAATTAGAATGGATAGAATAATAATAGTTATCCAAAATATAATTGATTGAATATAATAAAATAAGAAATATAAGGATTGATTTGAATTTTATTTAAAATATAAAACTCATTTTCTTGCTCTAAGATTAGCTCTAAGTTAGAGGAATTAAGCTTCAGCAGCTTAGGCAGATCCTTATTTAGCATAACTGGCAAAGACATCAGTGGGATCTCCTCCATATTGGTTGAATTCTTCAACTCTTTATTCAACAAAGGTTCTTAATTTGGTTAAGAGTTCAACTTCCTTTCTTCTAGCACCAGTACTATCATTATATTCAGTATTGAAAGCATTGCACATGTCACTAGCATAATTAAGTAAATTTTAGTTTCTGATTCTCTTGCTGGTAGCTGAGTTAATGATATCTTCTTCTTTGGTAATGGTGGCTTATAATTAGGCAATATAAGCTGTTAATTATCCTTGGACATTGACTAAAAGAGTGATAACATCTTAAACTCTGTTCTTTCTAGCTTAAAACACTTCAATTTAGGTGTTTTCGTTATCTGTCAATTCTGAAAGAGCAGCTTATAATTTCTCTCTTAATTCATTTAATAATTATCTGATTCTTTAAATGTTATCAACACTAACGTTTCCGTCACCACCTAATTCAACAAGAACTGACAATAATGGAGCATATTCAGAAGCATTACCAGCTTTTGTGGCTTAAAGGAACATGTTGTTGAAATGTTTTGTGACTTAAACAAAAGAAGCTGAGGCATTGGCGAATTCCTATTGTTTATATTTTATAAAATACATTGACAATTTATTCAGCACCATCAATTAAAGACAATGATGTGTTGATGTTTTGAACTTTCTTATTAAAGTTGGTAGCTCTGTCATTTCTTCTAGTGGTAATGAATTCAATTTAGTCTTCAAGGATTTATTGATAAGTCTTAACTCTGATTAAATCAGCTGTGGCAGAAGCATGAGCAGCTTAAGCTCTTCCTTTGTGTTCTGTAGCTCTAGTTAAGGCATCTACAGCATCTTAGACTTCCTTCTTTCTGAATCCTAATTCATCTCCACATTCTCTTTATTAGACTGTGTAGATATCGTCGTGTTCTGTTTATTCGTTTCTAATGGAAAGAATTAAACTGTTGATATGATCAACCAACAATTAGCCTGGTGATCTTGTTTGGGTTTCAGCGGAAACACACAATAAACCAACTAACACTAAAGCGATGACTTTCATTATTATTAATATTAAAACGGATACTCACATTATTTGCCTTTACGCCATAGTTATACTATTTATTTATGGAACATTTAGTGTTCTTCACTTATTCCTTGACTTTAATTTGAGTTTTCTATTCTTATTGACAATCCTCTACTTTGTGATTAAACTCATATGTCAAGCTTTGATCTACCCTGGATCATTTAAATTATACTAGAGGATCAATTAAAATAATCAAGGGTTGTTACATGCTAAGGTTAAAGTTCATTCAAATTTTAGATGGTATAGTAACATGTAAAGGAATTTGAAGAGATTATATATTAACGTAATCAACCAAATATCAATATCATTTAATGGTTTGAGTATTAAGCATAGATATTTTAAACAATGTAGAACCTAAGCAAATTATAATAGGAGTATCACAATTATCTAAAGTAAATTCTCTCAATACTTCGAACTAAATGCAATAATGAATTTCTATTTGAGTGTATTATGAGAGGCAATAAAATCGATTAGAAATATGTTGATTATTTGATAATCAATTTAGATGGAATATACAACATTGCAAATAAACATCTGATAGAATTAAAGGGTATTTAAAAATTAAAAAGATGGTGTTCTTTAGAATTATTTGGTGGTTTGAATGAATTCAGAGCAATGATATAATTGAAGAATCGAAATTCAAAAAGAGTCATGATAATCAATGGAAAATCTAAAATTGATTGTATGTACCTCATCAATCAATAAGAAGGCTTACCTAATAACACAGTACTCTTTTGTAATCCTAATGGTGGTTATTATGAATATATGTTCTACGACGTAATATTAATAAATATATTTAGTGCAATTGGTTTAGATTCTATGAAAATAATTAAATAAATGTGATAGTTTGGAATTATAGATAATATGGTTAGAGTACTGGTACAATAAATCCAAAGGGTCTTTTATCAGATGCAAATACAGTGGTCAATTATTTTAGAGAACATTACAATATAACACGATTTGGAATATAGGGATACTCTTTAGGTGGGTCAATAGCTAGTGAAGTAGCTTTGGAAAATAATTTGGATTTTTTAATAGTTGATAGAACATTTTCATCAATAGGATAAGTAGCTTCTAAGTGTTTTAGTAGTCATATTAGAATGATACTGAATATCATAACAGATTGGGATAAACCATAATATATGAATTATTGGAATTATAAAGGACATAAATTAATTGTATAAGATTCTAAAGATGAAATAATTCCTTATGTTGCTTAATTGCAGGTAGCAGTAGGAAGAGAATGGTTTAGTCCTTATAAAGAGAAATATTTTAATAAGATTACATCAATGTTAGATTAAGAGTCAGTTAGTTTTTAGAAATTTTTTAATTAAAATATTCTGAATAATTAATAGATGAAAGTCTTATTAGGTAGTTTAAGTCGGGTAGTAAATTTGATATTGAAATTTTATAAATCTGAATAGTAGGTGGAAATTAATTAAGAAAGAACTTTGATAAATATAGATATAAATAATTAGATACAAAATTAAGAAAATTATGTTGAATTGATAAGTGTAGAAGAATTGGAAAGATTATAACCATTATTATATCCAATGATTGAAATAATGTTTTCTTTAAAGTATAGTAATACGGCATTGATAGAACTTTTGATATAGAATTAAGATAATTTTGAAGAGAAAGTTTAATGTTTTTTTGCATGTTGTTTTACTTTTGGAATGCATGATCATCAATATAATTTTACTTAATAGTATTAATTTTATAGATAATCAATGAGTGAGTTTTTAAATTAGGAGAGAAATTAAAATGATTGGGGAAATGTAAATAAATATTTAAAATTTAGTTAAAATTAGATTGTTAGATAATATTAGAACATTTTAATAAGATAGTTGATAGATTTTCTGAATATATGGATGATACATAATAAACTTATAATTAGAATGAATCATCAGATAGAGGAGCTAATATTGAGATGAAATTGACATCACATTATATATCAAAAATTGGATAATTAATTAACGTAGATTGTGGACATAACAATAATTTGAGTGAATTAGATTTTAGTTATGTAAAGGCATTCTTAAGATAGATAGGAATATAATGAATTGATAATCTATTTTAGTATTATGATTTTTTTAACATTATTAGTAGTAATTAAGTATATTCGTTTTTTTATTATTAATAATGAAAATCATAATTTTGATTACCCTTCTGATATGTTCATTTGGTTAACAACCTGAATTTTTATAATAAATAGCATCAAATAGTTTTGGTCGTTAAATATTGTAGACAATTTAGCTTGAACTTACATAAGAGTAAATGTCTTAATTAAATTTTGATTAGAAATGCTGCTAGATAAATATATACAATGTTGAACAAGTTATTCTATGATTTAAGAGATGAAGATGCTAGATCAAGTAAAGCTAACGGAGAAAGGTAGGCTTAATGTGCTGATTAATTTTAATAAATAAATTCAATATAAGAGAAAGCTGTGGTTGCAAAAGCTGATTATGAAAGATAGATTCCAGGAAAATAAGAAGAGTTATTCAATAAATTAACATAAGTTGAATAGAAGAATGCTGAAATTTAAAGAAATGATTAATTATAATTGAACTTCTCTGAATAAAGAAGAAAAGACCATTAATTATATGAATAAAAAAGAGATGAATTAATTGGTTTAATAAATGGATTAAAATAAGCATAATAAATAATTAGATAACTTTAAACATCTCATCCAGGTGGTGCATTGGTTTAATTAAAAGATCATCATGAATAATTATGTAATATTTAATATATCAATAATAGTGAAGAACTATGCATAAAATTCTGAATTTAAGAGTATAACTTCATTACTTATGGAATTATGTTCAGATTCTAAAATACATTCAGATAATGATAATGTATAAGTAATTGTCGATATAATCAATGATCTAATTGAAAGTATCTATGATGTCTAAAAGAGGGAAATGTATGCTGAAGATTGGGCAGAGAAGTTCTTCTAATAAGATTTGTATTTATATTATATCGATATATATTATTAGAATTCGTCTTTAAAAAGAAAATGTTAGATTATCAGGTTAAATAGCAGATGATTAAGCAGCTGCTGAATTTGCTTAATAAAGATTGGATGATCTATAATAATAAGCTTTACTTTAATAAATCATTTTTGATAACAAAGATATAGAAAGAAAATCATTTGAAGTAGCTTGCAAAGAAGACAATAATGCAGCTGAATAAGCTAGAGTTTCTAGAAATGAATAAATCTAAATTGTACTTTAATTGTTGGAACTATTTGAGAACAATTTTAATGATAGAACTAGAGCAGCCCTTTTAGAAATTATTGTCTGATCAAATAATAATTATTCAATCATAAATTCTATTAATTAATTATTATTTCTTAAAATAATCAAAAATCTATTAAATCTTTTTTCTTATTTAAAATTGTTTCATATTCTTCACTACATTCTTTATGAAATATATATTTAAATTTATTTATCACACAACATCTTGGTTCCTTATCTTCATTAGTAACTAATTCTAAACATAAAAAACAAGTAAAATCATTATGAATTGAACATTTATTTTAATCTAAGTTTATTAATTGTTTCTCTACCATTCTTTAACATTCTTTACATTTAATACATGGAAAAAATGGTATTTCTATTTCTTCATCTTCATTGCCCTTCTCTACTTCTTTCTCTTTCATAATCTTTTATTCAATCATATTCTAACAATTTGGATCTATACCTCCCATAGTATAAAACATTTATTTTTAAATTTAATATCCTTTCAAATCTGGAATTTATTAAACTACTTAATCAATTAAATTTTATGTTGTTGCATGACCCTTCTCAATCAAATAATCTTTAGCTTTCTAAATCTTTTCAGCCTATGTAAAATTTACTGGTATTTTCACTTCATCTCCATTTTACTCAAACTTTAATATCGGAATTAATTTTTATTGATTTTTTACTTTTATTATTTATGCTTATAATTTTTAATAATCCACTTTTACTTTATTCTAATACATCCATTTACCTAATGCCACTGCTTTGAACAATTATTATAATCTTTTAAATATTGGATAATGTTTTGACAATTCATCATATAATTCACTAATCTTTTATGCAAATTAATATGATATATCATTTATATCCTAAGCATCTTTATCTTTTAATTAAGAATTAACTCTCTCTATTTATCTTGCTTAACACATTATTTTTAAATCATTCAATATATATTTATTATCTTCTAATTTATATATACATGATTCTGGTACTAACCAAAATCTATAAAATAATCTTGTAAATTATCCCTTACCAAAAGCAATACAAGATTTCAAACCCTTATCAGAAAGTTCCTTTGGATATACAAATGGAGTTTTGCCATCATCTTAAACTCCTAAACTCATCAATTTTAATAAATAATCTGCTTCAAATAATATTTATGCAAATTCTGTATCTTAAATAATATTCCTATTTACAAACTTATCTGGCCAACAAACCTTCTCTTATTACTTGAATTCTTCCTAATTAGGTAATACTATTGGATCTAAACTAAAACAAATTCCCTTATATTAATCATCTAAGTTTGGATCATTATAAACTGATAATACTGTTGCTAAATCTGACAAATGAATATTTTCACTTTTATCTAATATAAATTGAGATGTCACTTTATTAACTCCTTTTATTTTGTTGAATATCTATATATTCATATCTTTCTATATCTTTTCTATTTGATTTTATTGTAATTTATCTATTACTTATTTTTGACTCATAGGCGATTTCTAACTTTAATTTACTTTTGGCTGAATCAATTTAGATTTCATTTCTTTATTTTAAATATTCTTTATAGCTACTTCTTATTAATTATTAGAACCACTCTTAGTTTTATCTATATTTTAAAAACCCTTTAAAATTCGTTCTTAAATTTTATTTATTCTATTATTAAAATCTCTTTCAAATTTCTTACAAAATACTTTCACATCACAAAATTTTTAAAATTATTTTTTTCTAGCTTCAATAATACTTTTTTATAATTTATTTTATTCCATGTTATTCACTATTGAAATAGTATTTTTGTTTAAAACACCATCTAATGAAGAATTACAAGCCTTTTACATTATTAAAGCAGCATTTTAAGGTCCTATATTAATTACCATATCAAAATATTAATAGCAAGTTCCTAAATCTACAATTTTATCACATTTATGTTAAAGAAAAATATCATAATAATATTCTTAAATATCTTCCTTAGTAATTAATGATACATCTCTAATTTAGTATTTTGAATTGTTTTAATTTTTTTATTATTTTTTATTTAACCATTCATTATATTAATCTTAATTTAAGCGACTATTATCTTTTAGATTTGGATACTCCTATATATATACTTAACCACCTTCTAATTCTAAAACATATGGTAAAAGGAGTTAAAATCGTTCCATTAATTACTAGTCGAATCCCATAGAAATTGCTTATAATAAATAAATATTATTAATCAAATAAAATTTTATAATTTATACATTGACATTGTAAAAGATATTTTCAATTTAATATTTTAGAATTTTAAGCTAAGTTTGATAAACTCTTTTCTAGTTAGCTAACCATTTAACTAAAAATAATTATAATTTATTTANATTCTGTATCTTAAATAATATTCCTATTTACAAACTTATCTGGCCAACAAACCTTCTCTTATTACTTGAATTCTTCCTAATTAGGTAATACTATTGGATCTAAACTAAAACAAATTCCCTTATATTAATCATCTAAGTTTGGATCATTATAAACTGATAATACTGTTGCTAAATCTGACAAATGAATATTTTCACTTTTATCTAATATAAATTGAGATGTCACTTTATTAACTCCTTTTATTTTGTTGAATATCTATATATTCATATCTTTCTATATCTTTTCTATTTGATTTTATTGTAATTTATCTATTACTTATTTTTGACTCATAGGCGATTTCTAACTTTAATTTACTTTTGGCTGAATCAATTTAGATTTCATTTCTTTATTTTAAATATTCTTTATAGCTACTTCTTATTAATTATTAGAACCACTCTTAGTTTTATCTATATTTTAAAAACCCTTTAAAATTCGTTCTTAAATTTTATTTATTCTATTATTAAAATCTCTTTCAAATTTCTTACAAAATACTTTCACATCACAAAATTTTTAAAATTATTTTTTTCTAGCTTCAATAATACTTTTTTATAATTTATTTTATTCCATGTTATTCACTATTGAAATAGTATTTTTGTTTAAAACACCATCTAATGAAGAATTACAAGCCTTTTACATTATTAAAGCAGCATTTTAAGGTCCTATATTAATTACCATATCAAAATATTAATAGCAAGTTCCTAAATCTACAATTTTATCACATTTATGTTAAAGAAAAATATCATAATAATATTCTTAAATATCTTCCTTAGTAATTAATGATACATCTCTAATTTAGTATTTTGAATTGTTTTAATTTTTTTATTATTTTTTATTTAACCATTCATTATATTAATCTTAATTTAAGCGACTATTATCTTTTAGATTTGGATACTCCTATATATATACTTAACCACCTTCTAATTCTAAAACATATGGTAAAAGGAGTTAAAATCGTTCCATTAATTACTAGTCGAATCCCATAGAAATTGCTTATAATAAATAAATATTATTAATCAAATAAAATTTTATAATTTATACATTGACATTGTAAAAGATATTTTCAATTTAATATTTTAGAATTTTAAGCTAAGTTTGATAAACTCTTTTCTAGTTAGCTAACCATTTAACTAAAAATAATTATAATTTATTTACTTTAAAACTTTTTCATCAGCTTAACTAACATTTACTAAACTTTAATCAAGATTATCAGCATCCTTTTTTAATTTTCTTTAAAGTTCTTGTTATGCTCTACGTACTAGTTCATTTGACATTTTTTCTAAAGATTTTTATTCATTTAATTGTTATGTTGATTTTATTAATTATTTAAATCTAAAATCTTTTAATCTCTCTTATCTTTAATAATTTTCAATAAGATCTTATTATTTTAATTTCATTTTTTCTTTTTTTATATATTTTTAATTTTCTAATTCCTCTTTTCTTTTTTCTGAATAATCTTCAAGTAATTGAAATTTCTTTTATAAATTATCAACTTTTTCAAATTATTAAGATTTAATATTCTTGATACTTTTTTCAATTTTTTTTCTTCTCAATTTTTCTTCTTTAATCCTCAATTATTCCTCCTTTTCTCTTGATTATCTAAGTGCTATTAAGAAAAAGATAACAAAATTTACCTTTTAAATCCTCTTCTTTATGAGCTAATTTCTTTACAATTTATTACATTAAAGTATTTTCTCTTTATTATGTCTTAAGTTTATATTATCTTAATTTTTCTTCATGTAAAGTACTTCTCATAGTTAATCTTTCTAATTTAGATTCCCATATTTATCTATCTTTATTTTAAGATGTTTCAGCCCATTTTTATTCTATCTAATTCATAGTAGAAGCCAAGTGTAAATTATATTCTTTATCTTAAATTTATTTTCTTTATTAAATTTAATGTCTTCTTTCTTAATATCTTCTCTCTTATTCTTCCAATTCTTTCTTTTATTATAATTCATCTTCTTCTAATTTTTTACGACTAATTAATAAATATAAAAAATAAGTTACATTTTCTCAAATTTCTCTGCCTACTTCTTTTTATCTTCAAGTAATTTTCTTTATTTATCCTTTTCTTTTTCTTTAATTTCATTAAACTTTTTCTATGCTGCACGCTTTAATTCTTTCTTTCTAATTTCTTTCTCATGTGCTATTCTTTATTGCAATTCTTCTATCTTCTTCTCTCTTTCATTCATATCCTATTACAATTTCTATCTTTTTTTTTCATTATCTAATTAATGTTGCACTTCCTTCGCTTTTACTTGCAACTATTTTTTATATTTAGTAATTTCCTTCTCTAATTGTTACTCTAATACAAGAATAGGATCTTCATCATCAAATGATAGATATGATGCATCCTTTTCTTCATTATTGATGTTACTCATCTTTTTATTATACGTTTCAATCAAATCATTCACTAAACTTAAATATCCATATTTAAATACTCTTCATCTTTCTAAAAGCTTTTCTCTAGATGTAGATTAGTTATTGCCTTTTATTTCTTTATTATCACTTTACGCATCTTGCTTATTTCTTACAAAGCACCTATTTTAATCCATTTTCCATTTTACTTTCAGTCTTTTTCATGTAATGATCATATCTCATTTTTTATACATTCTCACTTAAACCTGGTTCTGCAAACTCTTCAAGATTCCTACATTATAATCATATCATTAATTTACTTTAATTAAAATATTTGAGGATCATAACCTAAAGCTAAACAAGCTTCTCTTGTTTTTGGTGAGTCTGGCTTTATTGTAAAAGTCTTCCTTGTATGTGAAAATACAATCCCTCTCCTTGTATTACGATGTGTCTGATCTAACAAGTTTTCCATGTTCATTTTTTATTTATTTTTATATTTATATACTTTAATCAACTATTCAATTTACTTTATTCTAAATGGAGAATTCTAAATTAATCACTAAATCTTTTTTTTTCTTTTTATTCATTTTCTAAATCAATTATACATGTTTTAATCGATAAAAAAAATTTATATTTTTCACACCTCCTTTTCTATTCTAAAAATTCATCCTTCTTAACTCATCATTCTTAACTACAATAATAAATTAATATATATTTCAATCCCAATAAATTAAATTATTTATATTATTAAATAGATGTTTGTTAATATCATTTTATGAGTTATTTCCTCATCTAAAATTCCATTTATGTTTAGATTGAATATCTGATTGATATTTTTCGATTAATTTATCATGTTCATAATATAACGGATCAAGCTTTTATTTGTTATACCTTTTACAAAATTTTTTGAATTTTTTCTTAGCATCCTTATATGACAGATCTTCAAAATGAGTGTTTTCTTTTTTCATTAACCAAATGCAAAAAATGTCATTCAAACGGAAATAATCATCTTCATCAATCTTCTGAAATTCACTCATCAAGAAACAACTTATTATTATTTTATTATATATTTAAGTTTTATTGTTTCATAATATTCAAAAATATATCTAATCATAAAATTCATTATAATATTAGATTTTATATAATACTTAAAAAGCCTAAAATGACAGCAAAGCTAATGAGAAAATTAAACTGATAAAATTAAATTTTATTAATCTATTAGATTTTCTATTTTATATCATTAATTTCTAAAGAAGGTTATATCTTAACACATGATTATTTTCTTATTACCTCTTTTTATGGCTAATGAAAGACATATTTCTTAAAATTTTAGATTCTAAAACTAACTGCTTTATTCAAGACTAAAATTAATTATTTAATTGACAATTCAATAGTCATAATTAT